GCAGGATGTATCAAAAAATGAAAATAGTAGGGTGGTCCAATGCTGCAAAGACAACCAAATCACCTAACGTCCCAAGATGTTGATCAGGGGAGGGGAATCCTGCGGTGACCCAGTTCCCTGCACTGACAGGGTGCCCGGGAGTCTTAACCAGCTTGATGGGCCTGCATCTGTCATGAGGATCTTCCAGAAGACAGAAAAGAAAGACTCCCTTGATTCTAGAGCCTGAGTATCTGGGCCAGGCACAACCTGGTCCTCAGTGCCAAATGAGCTGGTTTGTCCATAGTTGATTGACTTCTCCCGTGGCAATAGAATGTTTTGTTGTATAGGGATGGGGTAAAACTGGGTAAATATAAGCACCTCAAAGAAGGCTATCATCAGGCCCAGGGGATCCTTCACCGTCCATCTGCCGGGACTGACCTCTGCACTGCGCGCTCCTCACTTCACCAGATAACCCTATAGACGCTACAGGGACCCGCATCGCGGTGTACACGGCTATTCCACAGGCACCACAGGAGAGTTACATACGTACTAGTGGCTGGAGGCGCAACAAGTATAAGGAGGAAAAGAGTACCACCATCATTACTAAGACCACCCAGGACTGGGAGGATCGTGTTTTTTGAGTGATTCATAAGGCTCATTGATCCTGTGGGGCCTGGGCAGGAAGGTGAGGGGGCACTCCAGCTACTGAGGACTGGCATGCTACCAGCAAAAGCACAAGAATTTACTTGCATGTGGATTAACTATACTACGGCATCCATGTTACAATATAGGATAGAGTACAATAGTATTGTCCAGTAGTGTTTTGCACGGTTCACTGTGTTACCACCTCATCCCCCAGGGGATGCACACTGTTTTGCACTTACTTATGATCCCTCAGTTGAGGATCCAGGAGGGGGAGTGTGTCCTTATTAGCACTTACCTACTTTTTACTGTGTGGAATTGGTATCGATAATATTATTTATGTGACCAGTTCTTGCCATTTTATTCTTCATATTGGTTTGACATCTCATGAATTATATGTAGTGCCGCACTACCTTGGTTTATATTGCTATCATCAGGCCCAATACTCTCATGCAAAAGCAGAGTGTAAGATGACTCCTGGACTGGAGAGTTTGAATCTTAGATCGGGGAGTCTGAGGTTTCGGTATCCAGGACTAGGCTCAGCTATATTGAAAAGTTCATGGGATGAAAGAGATATTTACATGTTAATGCTTAAATTACATTTTAATGATTGGGTTATAGTCCTTTAAGATGAAAAGCTAGATCTAGTGACAGGTCTACATTGAAGGTTACAAAACGGCTAACATATTAGCTTGTGCAGAGAGTTTATGTGATACATTCTGTTAAAACACTTTGAAGAAAAAGCCACAGCTACAGTACACAACTGAACAAAATAGAAGTCATATGCCATGACACGAGTAATGATCATTGCATGAAAAATACAATTTGAATTCATAATTTTTACTGTAGTATATGCTAAAAGCAGGGTGGATAAAAATCAATGATTTTTAAAAAAAAAATTAAAAAAAAAATCGTATTTTTTTAATTTAAATCTGATTTTTTTTTTATTTAAATTGGATTTTTTTAAATAAAATGCTTTTTGAGGAAAATATATTACCACCCAAAGGTTATTCCATCATGAAATAAAGATTAGTTTTTTAATTATGTAGAATAAGGCTGTATATGTTTCATTTGTTTGGTAAATAAATTCCATGAATCCATTCACAATGTCATGCTCTTCCAGAGGTTTTTGTAAGATTATTGGGCAGTTTCTCTGCCTACAAGATATTATCACAGATGATTGGTTTACTTTTGCAGTTCTCAAAACTGAATTTGACTCAGCGGAGATCACATGCCTCTTCTTCACAGCAAAAATGTTATAACATGAACAGAGTTCAGAAAAAGACCTTCATCCTAACTTCTACAAACCTATGAATACAGAATCAACCCCTTCAGTGCTAAGTTTCAAGAAGTTCAGTGAATAGAATAGAAACAATATTTTTCTGATTGTTTGGAGTGGAATAGATCTGCACAAGAAGAAAGTGAAACTAAGTGTGAGGAGGAAGGGGCTGACAGTGTGAGGAGGAAGGGGCTGACAGTCTAAGTTTCTTCAAATATATATATTTTGTTTAGCCAAATTAGTTACCAAACATGGATGTTTAAGCAAATCACATATGCTGGAATGTTATTGTTTCAGATGAATAAATCTATTTAAATTGTTATTATTAAGGTAATGATTATTTTTCTCCTTCCTAAGTACAACAGGAACGTTGTCCAAATATGAATGATTAACCTATTAAACTGGGGATAAAAAAAACTAATATGAAAAGTTGTTATTCTAAAAATCTTCATCTACTTGCATATTAAAGTTATACCAGCAAGGATTAGTCTTTATGTAGAAAACTAGGATTTACATCAAGCCTTACTGACTAGTGATTTAAATCGTGATGTAAATCAGTCTGATTTAAATCAAATCCACCCTGGTGACAGGTCTACATTAAAGGTTACAAAACAGCTAACAGATCAGCTTGTGTGGAGAGTTTATGTGATACATTCTGTTAAAAAAGTTTGAAGAAAATGCCACAGCTACAGTACACAACTGAACAAAATAGAAGTCATATGCCATGACACGAGTAATGATCATTGCATGAAAAATACAATTTGAATTCCTAATTTTTACTGTAGTATATGCTAAAAGTATATAAAAGTTAAATCCACACAGCACTGAGACCCTCTTATTCAACAGCCATTTAATGTAGTCAGTCCAAGGCGCCACAACCCCGTCTAAGCCGACAAGCAGTGAAACAGGGGAGCTTCCTTTGAATTGGGTTACAGTCAGTGGGAACATAGAGCCTCCTGGCAGGATTCCCAGAACTCCACTGAACAGAAGAGCTGCTCTGATAATGTCCACATTCTGAGAGAGGAAAATGAACTTTTCCAGCCTGTAGCACCTAAACAAAGCTGTGATTTCCTTCACAAGTTTAACGACCCCCATGCTCCATATTACCCTTTAGGGGGTTAGAGAGGAATCTGGACATTGTACTTTCTCTGCAATTCGTTTTTTTTTTTTTTTTTTTTATCAAGTAGCTGAATGCATAATGGTCTCTATGTACAATGAGTTGAGCAGACCCAAGCACTGTAATAGTCTATCCAAGCATGTATTGGGTGGGAAAAAAAAAGAGAGAAGGAAAGAGGAAAAAGAACTGACAGAGGGAGGAATAGAGAAAATAAAGGGAAAAAAGAGAGACAGAGGGAGATGGAAGGGATAAAAGGATGGAGAGAGAGCAAGTGAGTGGAAGGAGAGGGAGTGATTGGAGGGGAGAAAACAGAGAGAGAGGAAGAAAAGAAGACAGGAAAAGAAAATGGGAGGAAAAATAGGGAGAAGGAAAAAGAGAGAGGGAGAGAGGAAATGAAGAATGAACTGGAGAGGGACAGCAAGATTGTGGTTCTGCCATGACCTGGGAAAGCACTGAAGAGACGGCTCCCATTTCGAGGAGATGAAGGAATCTTTGAAGAGTCATTAATTGAAGAGCAACAACAAGGCTTGGAGCAATTTATAAAGAAGATCGCAGGACACCCGCTTGCCCAGAACGAGCGTTGCCTCCATATGTTGTTACAGGACGAAACGATCTAAAGGAGACTAAATGTCAAATATAAAATACACTATAGTTTAAAATGAACCTATCAAGGCAAAAAAATAATGAGTTTGCCATTGGTGAGTTGTTTTTGAAATATGAAGGGGATTCAGGACTGTGAATGGAAAGAGAGAGGAAGGAGGGAAAGAAAGAAAAAGAAAAAAGGGAAATAAGAAAGGGAGAAGGAAAGTGCTCATACAAAATGTAAGAAAAAGAGAGTGAATAGGAAAGTAGAAAAAGGTGGAGAAAGAATGGAGGAAAAGAGAAATAAAGGTGACGAAATGTCAAATGTAAATACTAAACCTGTGAGGACAGAAATAGAAAGGCTTCCATTGGTGACTTGAGTTTAAAGGATACGTTCACTCTAAAAACAAAATATTTGCTGTTAAAAAAAAAAATGTGCATTTTTATTTTTTTCTTAGGAGCCTGCAGAGCATTGCACCCACAATCTGCAATGCCAGACTCCTGCAGACTCTCTGTCAGCTGTCTGCCCATACCTCCTATACAGGCAGGCAGTTACTGAAGTCCAGAAAGATCAATGAATTAAGGCGCTCACCAGCACCTTTGCAGTTCATTGAGAACTACAATCCCTCAGCCGCATGTAACTGTGAATGAATGATGTGGTTGTGTGGGTGGTATTATGACAGAGGGCATGGGGAGAAGATCCCCTGCCCACTCTCACAATGGGGGATCAGGCCTGGGTGTTAGCAGGTGCTTTAGTAACATGTTACTCCCTGAATATGGGTGTAACATGTAAAATTTTACTAAAGGAGAACTTATTCTGTAAATATGAAGGCTCTAGAACTCACCATCTAGGCTGTTATTGACCTGGAACAAGCACACAAGCAGTGTAGTGGAAAAAGTCTGTCTCAATCCTACATACTTGTTAGGCAGTGAAAACAGAAACAGGATTGCAACCACAGAGCCTGAAATTGTAATAGCAAATCAGCAATAACAGCTTCCATAGTTATACCCGTTTAAGGGAAATAATATATGACTGATTTATTAAAGGCAAATATACTGTGCACTGCAAGTGTACCTTCTCCAGAGCTTAGTAAATGAGGTAAAGCTTCGCTTTGCAAAGAATACCCAATCAAATTAAAGGAATATAAAAAAAAAACAGCATTTTTGCTTGCACACGATTGGACGATAGAAATCAGCAGAGCTTTCCCTCAGATCTAGAGCAAGTGCATATGCAGTGCACAGACTATTTACCTTCAGTAAATCAACCCCTATGTGTATTGAAATCAATACTAGAAACATATTTCTTTTAACAAAAAAACCTTTAATGAAACATGAACGTTACAAAAACTTTACAAAACTATCCATTGGATAAACAAAGTGCCATTCTCTGGGAGGATCTGCTCAATCTCTTATATTGTAGTTGCGGATTTTGGGGGTGCCTCTGCCCCTTGTCTGCTTTGCATTCCCTGGTCGTCCTGTCTTGTCTACATTTTTCTTAATTGCAGACGAAGGGACCTTCTTGTGATTGCCCATCTGAGCCTTACCAGGGAGTGCTGTGGGTTAAATGCAGTCAAATTAGCACACATCATTATGAAACAGTAAAAAAAAAAAAAAAGACTTCTGCTCTGATTACAAGATCAGTATAAATGCAACTTGATAAAATGTTTAAATATGAATAGCGCTTTATAAGTGTAAAAAACAGGATTCACTGAAATACTCACCTAATGACAGACAGACAGACAGACAGACAGACAGACAGACAGACAGACAGACAGACAGACAGACAGACAGACAGACAGACAGACAGACAGACAGACAGACAGACAGACACTTTTCTTTGCAAACAGTTTTTAGAAGGTTTATTTTAAACAATCTATTTAACCCCTTGCCTACAGGGCACTTATAACCCCTTCCTGCCCAGGCCAATTTTCAGCACTGTCGCACTTTTGAATGAAAATTGCGCGGTCATGCAACACTGTACCCATATGACATTTGTATCTTTTTTTGAGACAGAGCTTTATTTTGGTGATTTTTAATCACCTCTGGGTTTTTTATTTTTTTGCTAAACAAACCAAAAACCACTGAAATTTTTGAAAAAAAATTTTTTTTCTTAGTACCTGTTCTAAAATTTTGTAAATAAGTGATTTTTCTCCTTCACTCATGTGCGCTAATGAGGCTGCACTGATGGGCATTGACAGGCATCACTGATGGGTACTGAAAGGCAGCACTCATATATGGCACTGTTAGGAGGCACTGACTGGCACCGTAGGCAGCACTGATGGGCACTGTTAGGTGGCACTATTAGGCGGCACTGACTGGCATTGATAGGTGGCACTGAAAGGCAGCACAGAGAGCCACTGATATGTGGCATTGATGTGGCACTGACAGGTGGCATTGATGAGCAATGACAGGTGGCACTGCTGGGGCTACACTGATCATCAGGGAACACTGATCTTCAGTGCAATGAGGATCAGTGTAGATGTCCCCTCTGAGTAATGCCAATTACCGACTCTCATCACAAGCTGTCAGCGTGACAGCTTGTGAGGAGAGAAATGCCAATAACCGGCATTTCCTTATTTACATGCAATCGGCTGTGATTGGACACAGCTGATCACATGACAGAGCCAACGTCTTCGGCTCTTTCCATTGATCCGCTGTGTCCCAGGGACACAACACACCACCAATTGGCACGCACTTGTGGGTAGAGTGGGAGGACGTCATATGACGTCCTCCCAGAATGAGAGAACCTCCTTGCGCCCGTCATTACCTTGTATTGCGGGTGGGAGGCGGTTAAATAATACCTAAAATATGCATTTATTTGCCTTTTTCCATTTCTATATATTTTTTGTATACCTCTGTGTTTGTCTAATAGCTCTGAAGAAGTGGGAGTCTTTGTTCCCCTGAAAACAATTTGAATTGTCATACTTGTTGCTATTTCTAACAAACACCTTCAAACTCACCTTCCATCTTGCATTCACTGGACACCAGGTGCACCTTTTTACCTACTCTTCTTAGTCTTGTACTGACAGATGAAAGCTGCAGAGAACAACACTCAGGTCATTATGTTGTGCCATTGTCTGCAGCATTCAAGAACAGCCCACATTTGGAGGAAGACCCAAGGGGGTTTATTTACTAAAGCTGGAGAGTCCAAAATCAGACGCCCTTCTGCATAGAAACCAATCAGCTTCCAGGTTTCATTGCCAAAGCTTCATTGAACAAGCTGAGCTTAGAAGCTGATTGGTTTCTATGCAGAAGGGAGTCTGATTTTGGACTCTCCAGCTTTAGTAAATAAACCACATGGTGTCCCCTGTGATCAGACCATAGACCTACATCTTCAAATATCAACACCTGTTCTATGGACAACTAAGGGGAATTCCCATTACTTTGGAAATATTTTCTATTATTTCTTGTTGAATTTCCATGGCATGAAGTAAAGGGAAATTTCCCCATTGGAAAGCAATCAGCAAAAAAAAAAAAAAAATATTGAACAAGGTTATAACCTTTACTGGTGCTATCCTATTTGGTTCCAAAAGAGAGACAGCCCCTCCAAATGAGGAACAGCTGAGAGCCATTTTGGTGTCGGTTTTAAAGTTGCGGTAATGCTGAATATTCTGTGACAGGTTCTCTTTAATGATAAACACTTCCTATCTGACCACCATGCACAAGTCAGTCTATACACAGCAGATGCTGAGCAACCAGTGCAAACAGACGGCTGATTTACCAGTACTCAGCAATGTGTAGCATTTCACCCAGACAGATAACTCATAATAGCCCAATAGCCTGATGGGAACACTGTTGACATTGTGTCTGATGGGGAAGTGCACAGATAACCGAGGACAGCCCCATGCTGGGTGAGGAAATAATATAACAAACAGATGACCCTCCCGGCTTCTGCAATACTATTTTACTCTTTCAACACACAGGTGTGCTGGGTCAAAGCTGAAATCACAGAGCAGCAGGTAGGTAAGCTACCAGGCAGAGATTCAACTTAACCCCTCGCCTACTGGGCACTTCTACCCCCTTCCTGCCCAGGCCAGCTTTCAGCTTTAAGCATTGTCGCACTTTGAATGACAATTGCGCGGTCATGCGACACTGTACCCATATGACATTTTTATTTTTTTCACACAAATAGAGCGTTGTTTTGGTGGTATTTGATCCCCACTGGGGAAAAATTTTGAAAAATAAAACCTTCTTTGTTGCCATTATAAAATTTTGCAAACAGGTAATTTTTCTCATTCACTGATGTATATTGATGAGGCTGCACTGATGGGCACTAATAGGCGGCACTTCTGGACACAGGTGGGTGGCACTGTTGGGCACAGGTGGGTGGCACTGATGTGTACAAGTGGGCACCACTGCTGGACACAAGTGGGTGGCATTGTTGGGCACAGGTGGGTGGCACTATTGAGCACCACTGCTGGGCACAGGTGGGTGGCACTGCTGGGCACAGGTGGGTGGCACTATTGAGCACAAGTGGGCACCACTGCTGGGCACAGGTGGGTGGCACTGCTGGGCACAGGTGGGTGGCACTGATGGGTACAAGTGGACACCACTTCTGGACACAGGTGGGTGGCATTGTTGGGCACAGGTGGGTGGCACTGTTGGGCACAGATGGGTGGCACTGATGGGTACAAGTGGGCACCACTGCTGGGCACAGGTGGGTGGCACTGATGGGTACAAGTGGGCACCACTTCTGGACACAGGTGGGTGGCATTGTTGGGCACAGGTGGGTGGCACTGTTGGGCACAGATGGGTGGCACTGATGGGTACAAGTGGGCACCACTGCTGGGCACAGGTGGTTGGCACTGCTGGGCACAGGTGAGTGGCACTGATGGGTACAAGTGGGCACCACTGCTGGGCACAGGTGGGTGGCACTGCTGGGCACTGATCATCAGTGCCGATCACTTCTCTGACAATTGCTGGTTATCGGCAGTACTTTCCTCATGCTGTGACAGTGTGCGCAAAGTGCAGCCGATAACCGGCAACTGCATTTACCGGTGATCTGAGGTGTCATTGGACACAGCTGATCACATGGCAAAAGGCCACCGTGATTGGCCGTTTACCGTATCCTGTGATCAGCTGTGTCCGTAGGACATGGTGGCACTGGGGGGGGTGTTCTGGAATGATGTCCATGGACGTCGTCCCAGAGCCAGACAACTGAGCTGTAGCCATCTTTCGGCTATAGCACGGTAGAGAACTGGTTAAAAACCACAAGGCCTTATTTCAAAATACTAGCCCCCCCCCCCACCATATACAATTTTTGGACAAACCTTAAAAATGGTTGTAAGCTTCTGAAATAGAAAATGTTTCTCGACAGTGTACAAGCATCAATACAAAGCAACAAGTGTGATTTCTGTCTTCCCCCTGCTACCTGCATTAGTCATTTCTAACAGATTATCCTGACACTGCAGAATCTTGGAAGACGCACCCCCCCCCCCCCCCCTCCAGCAAACCAAAGGTGATTGACAGCCTCAGCTATGCATGTTTCCCAATGACACTGGAGTCGTACAAATGTGAAGGAAGCCTGAACAAGCATTACAACACAGGTATATATGTATTGTGGGGCACTGCATTCATTTCAAATAGCACATATACAGTAAATAAAAACAAAAATGCGTTGTCCGTACAACAAAAAGATGTGAATTTGAAGCACACTGCTCCCCCCAAAAGATGTCTGCTGGCTGGTTTCTTTGCTTTGTCAAGGAGACACTTTATTAATATATCTTTTAATCTTTTCCCTCGGATTCGAATTTCATTATTTTCCCTTTTAAATTTTGAGTAGCAATTGTTCTCATTTTTGAGTGTCACTATGATATTTACAATCTACACTGATCACATTTGTGCCCACTTGTACCTCTCAGAATGAAACAAAAATTATTGTAATCTAGGGCGATTTTTAAGGCGCCAGTCCACCCAAAAGGGACTATTCATTTTTTAGTAGAAGCTGGAAAGTAAACCTGTCTCTAGATGGACCGAATCTCGGCCAGTTCAGCAGAGAATGTTGGATATTCAATACATCTATGGGCAGACTGGTTGTACTAAAGTCTGTCTATCGATTGACTTCAGTACAACCAGCCTGTTGGATTTTTTGCATGCGATTACTGTCGGCGCCTATAGCTGCCAGCAGGGATCACTGTGTTCTGCCTTCCCTGCCGGTGGTGCCCAACAGCTCTGGGGAAAGAATTCCCCCATCAATACTGACTGTATTGATTGGGGTATCAAGCAATTTTCTTTCCTTCCACTCATGGTGGAAGGAAATAAAATGGTCTGGTTCATGGCTTGCTTTAAGTTTCTTTTATCAATGAGGCACTCCATTAGTGAGATCTCTGCACTGAGATCCTGGGTCTGCACACCTATTGTCCCCCATTATGAGGGGTTCCCACCATCCCTGCTAGACTTGTATTTATATCATATAATGGAGGAAAGTAATGGGATCCGTAAGAACACAGTATCAGCTGCACATCATTGCTCGGGACAGGTATTATATCAGTTGTTTAAAGCGGTTCTAAAGGCAGAAGGTTTATTATTTTAATACAATCTCTGCATTATGGTAAAAAACCTTCTGTGTGCAGCTCCCCCCTGAGCCTATTGCGATCCAGCGCTGGCCATGAGAGCAGCGGCTCTCTATGCTTTCTCCCTTTTTTGCCTCACTGATCATGGAAGCAGCAGCAGGATCCACTGTCAATCATAGCCTGTCAGGAGATCTCAGGTGTGCTTCAATGGACACCCCCAGCGTGGCTTGGGATCGAGCTTGCACGAGTGCCCTCATAGCAAGCGGCTTCCTATGGGAGCTCTTGGAAGGGTGGAGGAGCCAGGAGCATCATCAGGGGAACTGAGAAGAGCAGGATCAGGGATGCTCTGGACAAAACCATTGCACAGAGCGGGCAAGCAAGATCTGTTTGTTATTTTAAAAAAATAACTTTCAGAATCATTTTAATTCTAACTCAAAACATTTACTATTGTTTCTTCACCAATGATTAGTCCATTAATGTAAAAATACTAAACAGTTCATTCGAAGAAAAATCAGTCCTCTAAACCAATGTTTCTCAACCTTTTTTCAGTCAAGGTACCCTTTAAAATTATGGACAGTCCCGAGGCACCCTTTAGAACTATAAACAGTCTTGAGGCACCCCATTCTAAAATGTGAAAAACTATTCTAATAGTTTTATATAATGCAGCAACATCCACACATGTAGGACACCCAACATTACAGGTGATTTGTTCTTCCACTGGTACTGACTAGTATTCCAATGTTTCTCTTCTCCTTCAGTTTTTTCTCCTATACTGAGCTAATGTGACCCCAGCACTGATGGAGAGAGGGGCGGGGGAGGATCAAACTAGGATGCTGTGCAGGCAGGTGACATCCTCCTTATCAACTGATGATGCCATTTGTCAGCATGCCATTGGCTAGAAGGTCGTAATGTTGCACAATGAAAACCTGTGGCTTTGTGTAACTAAAATGTAGGCTTGTTCCACCTGCTGGATTGTATACAAGTTTTGGGAAATTTGTAGACATTTTGCCAAGGCACCCCTGAAGAAACCTCAAGGCACCCCAGGGTACCTGGGCACCCTGGTTGAGAAAGGCTGCTCCAAACTTCGATTTGAAAAAAATAAATCCCATGCTGCTTGTATATGTTTTGCATTTTGTGTCTGCAGTGACATGAATTAGGACATTGATTTTGTCAGAAAGCCAAATGGGGAGGAAGGGATTGCAGCTCACGCAGCTCTTGTACACAGATAACGCAAGTAATTTGTGTAATACAGTCCACAAAACCCTTAAAATAAACACAACTCATGAACTGAAGGCAACGACCTGCAGTAACACCTCTGGTCTGATCAGCTAGACATGCTCAGCAGTAAATAAAAGCAATTATAGTTACATAGTTAGTGTGGCTGAAAAAAGACAAAAGTCCATCCAGTTCAACCGTAAAAAAAAAAAAATTATAATCCTATGCCCATAGTTGATCCAGAGGAAGGCAAAAAAAACCCAGCAAAGCACGATCCAATTTGCTCCTGCATAGGGAAAAAATTCCTTCCTGATCCCCCGAGAGGCAATCAGATATTCCCTGGATCAACATTACCTATAAATGTTATATCCAGTTATATTCTGTGTATCCAAGAAAGAATCCAGGACTTTTATAAAGCAATCCAGAGCTGGCCAGAACCAACTCGAGGGAATCTATTTCACTATTCCACATTTGCATAGCTCTTACTGTGAAGAAATCTTTCCGTATACATGGAGATCATATCCCCCCTTATGTATTATACATGGAGATCATATCCCCCCTTATGTATTATACATGGAGATCATATCCCCCCTTATGTATTATACATGGAGATCATATCCCCCTTATGTATTATACATGGAGATCATATCCCCCTTATGTATTATACATGGAGATCATATCCCCCCTTATGTATTATACATGGTGATCATATCCCCCCTTATGTATTATACATGGTGATCATATCACCCCCCCCCCTTATGTATTATACATGGAGATCATATCCCCCTTATGTATTATACATGGAGATCATATCCCCCTTATGTATTATACATGGAGTTCATATCCCCCTTATGTATTATACATGGAGATCATATCCCCCCTTATGTATTATACATGGTGATCATATCCCCCCTTATGTATTATACATGGAGATCATATCCCGACTTATGTATTATACATGGAGATCATAACCCCCTTATGTATTATACATGGAGATCATATCCCCCCTTATGTATTATACATGGTGATCATATCCCCCCTTATGTATTATACATGGTGATCATATCCCCCTTATGTATTATACATGGAGATCATATCCCCCCTTATGTATTATACATGGTGATCATATCCCCCCTTATGTATTATACATGGTGATCATATCCCCCCCTTATGCATTATACATGGACATCATATCCCCCCTTATGTATTATATATGGTGATCATATCCCCCCCCTTATGTATTATACATGGAGATCATATCCCCCCTTATGTATTATACATGGAGATCATTTCCCCCCTTATGTAGTATACATGGAGATCATATCCCCCTTTATGTATTATACATGGAGATCATATCCCCCTTATGTATTATACATGGAGATCATATCCCCCTTATGTATTATACATGGAGATCATATCCCCCCTTATGTATTATACATGGAGATCATATCCCCCCTTATGTATTATACATGGTGATCATATCCCCCCTTATGTATTATACATGGAGATCATATCCCCCTTATGTATTATACATGGAGATCATATCCCCCCTTATGTATTATACATGGAGATCATCATATCCCCCTTATGTATTATACATGGAGATCATATCCCCCCCTTATGTATTATACATGGTGATCATATCCCCCTTATGTATTATACATGGTGATCATATCCCCCCCTTATGCATTATACATGGACATCATATCCCCCCTTATGTATTATATATGGTGATCATATCCCCCCTTATGTATTTTACATGGAGATCATATCCCCCCCTTATGTATTATACATGGAGATCATATCCCCCCTTATGTAGTATACATGGAGATCATATCCCCCTTTATGTATTATACATGGAGATCATATCCCCCCTTATGTATTATACATGGAGATCATATCCCCCCTTATGTATTATACATGGTGATCATATCCCCCCTTATGTATTATACATGGAGATCATATCCCCCCTTATGTATTATACATGGAGATCATATCCCCCCTTATGTATTATACATGGAGATCATATCCCCCCTTAATCTCCTCTTCTCAATAGAGAATAATTTCAGTTCCTCTAATCTTTCCTCATAGCTGAGCTCCTCCATACCTCTTATCAGTTTGGTTGCCCTTCTCTGTACTTTCTCCATTTCCCGAATGTTCTTTTTGTGAATTGGTGCCAAAAACTGAACTGCATATTCCAGATGAGATTTTACTAATGATTTGTACCGGGGGAAATTATATACCTCTTTTAGTACAAGGGAGGATTTTGCTCGATTTTGAACCCGTAGCTTGGCATTGCATGCCATTATTAAGCTTGTGACCTACCAGAACCCCCAGATCCTTCTCCACCATTGACCCCCCCAGTTGTACCCCCCCATGTATGATGCATGCATATTCTTAGCCCCCAAGTCCATAACCTTACATTGATCAACATTAAACCTCATTTGCCACATAGTTGCCCAATTAAACAGTGCATTGAGGTCGGCTTGTAAGTTGGAGACATCCTGTAAGGACGTTATTCCCCGGCACAGCTTGGTGTCATCTGCAAAGACTGAAATGGGATTTGTAATCTCAGACCCTATATTGTTTATAAATATATTAAAAAGTAAGAGTCCCAACCTTGGGGTACACCACTGACAACCCTAGACCATTCAGAGTATGAATCATTAACCACTACTTTTTGAACACGATCTTTTAGTCAGTTTTCTATCCATTTACATACAGATTTTTCCAAGCCCGTAGACTTTACCTTACACATTAGCCGTGTGTGGGGAACTGTGTCAAACGCTTTTGCCAAAACCAAGTAAAGTCAAGCATGTCCACCTCCACCCTCACTGACTTAGCACAAGCGTATGGCCAGTAAAGCGTTAAGTCCCACCAGTTAATCTGCATACTTGAGAGAGTCAGACAACTTGAACTTTCACAAAGGTGTGTTCACACATTTTGAAAAACTGGTTTTAGCCTTGAAATGTAAATGGTGCTGGATCTCAATATCTACTCTGTAGCAGCCTTGAAACATCTAGCGCACAGTATCTGGATTCTCACCTTGTTCAATTCCTTCCTGGGAGCTAAGGAGTGACACACTTGACCCCATGTCCAATATCTTCCAAACTTCCTGCAAAGATGAATCACCCTCCGTCAGTGAGGCTGCTGAGCGCAAGGATCGGGCGCTGCTCACGTAATTTACACGGGGTGAAAACAGGTTCTCTTTCTGCATTGGTAGTGTGTCTTCGGTAGTCTGTGAAGCATTAACCTGTTCAATAAACAAGAAATACAATTTTGCTTACTGACAAAAAGAAAACAACAGCAATTTTAATACATTCATGTCAATGTAAGACCTGTGTGAGACTACACTGAGTTTGGATCGTTTAACCAGAGTCCCCATCAGAGCCCTGCTAACGATCTTCCTAATATGTTATAACCCTCACATTAGGCCTACAGTGCATCTAAATCCTGAAAGAGTGGTGAGGGGTTACACTCCCTTCCAGGTTCTTATTACCTCTGTGTGCTGTTTTACATAATGTGCTGCGTGTGTTTTACTATTGAGACATGAAGCTTTGTATTTCTCTGATGTGTTGAGAAATACAAAGCAGCATGCCATTGCCGACAGAAGAGAGACCCGTGTTGTTTACACACAGGTCCCTCCTGTCGGTTTTCCCCGACGATCGCAGGGTGCCGGCGGGGAATCTCTGGTCGGTACCCTGTGATTGACAGCCCTAGCCGCCAATAGCGGCATGGGTAGGGCATGCGCCCCCCACCCAGAAATGCAAAATCATATATATACGCGTGATTTTGAGCAGTCCTGCCAGCCTTTAGCAGTACTTCTGCTGTAGGGCGGCGGGGAACTGGTTTATAAATATCAAGACATACATTTAGAGCTCTTATATTTCCTCTGTAAACTCACAAATATAAAAACATTTAAAATTACCTAGTCACATATGAGACTTGCATCCAAAAAAACAAACAAGAAATCAGGCCAACCGTCTGGGTGTAGGGATCACTCCCCTAGGACCAGTTGCTGCCAACTAAGGAACACTGTAAGCCAAATGTCTATGCCTGGAATGTACTGAGAAGGCTGGAATATAACATTCTCTCCAGGACAGGCTCCAATCTACCTTTCTTGACACAGTGAAATGTCCGGTTCCTCCTTGATGACTGATGTACGCCACCAACATGACTTTGTCCAACTAAATCCAGATCTGATGCTTCTCTAGCTGAATGGTCTACTGCTGCAGCAGAAACAGGCAAATTGGCCAAAGTTCCAGGATGTCAATCAGGTGATTAGATTCCTTATCCGTGTCCCCTGTACTGAGTGCCCAGGACTCTTGCCAAGCTCTAGGGGCCAGCCCCCAAAAGATGGGAAAGAAAGGACTTCCCCCAACTTCAGAGCCTGAATCCCGGGCCATAAGGCCAGGTACAAGTGATAGACAAAGAAACAGTTGTTTTTTTTTCTCTCTGCAAGGAGAGAGAGAGATACAATGTATCTCTCTCCTCCATTCAGAGAAAAAAAAAAAACAGAGGCTGGCTTCACAGTGACTGATCACTGTGATAGCCAATCAGAGGCTATCACAGCGATCATGTGACCTGGAGTCGCGCGTCCCGGGTCTCGATCGTTTTAACGGGACCCGGGGCTCTCAGTGACACCCTGGTGTCAGGAATGGACTCACCATTAGTGGTGGGACTCATCTGCCGTGTGGGCTGCAGTACCAGGGCTGGCCAGCGGGTGCTCTCAGCAACCAGAAGCTCACTCCTGCAGTCGGCCATCACCTGAGGCTAATTGCAGGAGGCGTATTTAAGGAATGGCCAGACCTGCAGTCAGTGCCTTGGTGTATGTTTCCCATGAGCCCCTGTACCTGCATCCTGTCTGCTTCCTGCCTGATTCCTGATTCTGCTTTTGATCCTGACTCTGAATGAACTCCGCCTATCCTGACCCCGGCTATTCCTGACCACTCTCCAGCCTGCTCCTTTGGTACCTTGTCTGCCTGATTGTTCCGGACCCGGCCCGTCTGACTACGCTCTGCCTGCTCCTTTGTGTCTTGTCTGCCCGATGGTTCCTGACCCGGCCTGCCTGACCACTCCACCTCACCAGCCCTGACTGCTCTTGTCTGTGTACATTCCGTTATCAGTTGGAGGTTTGGTTTTGTTATATTGTGCGTTTTAGATTTGTGTATAACCTTTAAGAAATTATATTGTTACACCATACTTGAGCCTGCGTTTCCCTGTGTCAGTTCACACATCTCTGGTCTTACCGGGAGCCCTGACACCTGGTCTTTGTGCTGGGAGTGCACTGTGCGGCACACTCCCAGCACAAAGACAGGTACGCAAATATGCAGCCCCACAGAAAAAGCCCAGTTCTGTGAGGCAGCATATTTGTGTGATGTCGGCGTCAAGGGGTTAATTTCCAGGACTTGCAGGTGGACAGGGACCTCAGCTTGGGGATCTTCACACAGAAGTTGAAAAAATGAAGAAACAAAAGGAACGTTTCTTAACAGATAAAGATGGAGAAGACTTAGCAGCCTGTCCTTTAGGTATCTTTTGCTGAGAAGAATGGGAGCTCTTGCCACCAGTAGCAGACAAGAAGGAGAACACAAGATGCAATACTCCACCCAGCTGTTGAGTTCAGCGGTCAGTTCCACAATGCTAACACCTTCTGCGGTACAACCAGCAGGAACATAGAACAAGGGCACCCAGCAGCTTAAATAATGGAGGTAGCACTGACTGACTTCCACACCAAGTCAGTCTTCAGAGACAAGGCAAGTGCTAAGGCAATGTCAATGGACCTGGAAAGTGCTCCACAGCTAACTTTTACCAGAACAGAACCGGGAAAGCGCTCTAGGTGGAACACATTGCCCGAAGCTTACTACCATGCTATCTCTGCACCTCCTGTCCAGTAAAGTATGGATGTAGTACTGCAAAAGCCATGCTAAAGACGACTATGCCAGAAAGCTGCAATTGAAGAGGTGAAGTGCCAGCAGCAATGTAGAAAAGAGCCTTGATTGAAGAAAAAAAGAAAAAGGATGTAGCAAAAAAATGAGTCTTAACACAACAGAGTTGCAGGAAAGACATTCATCCTACTGGGATACAAGCTGAAAAATGAGGAATGCTAGTAATGGGAGGAGTTATGCTGGGCTAAACTACTGCTTTTTTTGTTTGCCAGTGTCCAATCCTCCTGTAGGTGGCAGCATAACCCAAAGGTTTAAAAACGTCCTGTGTCCCTCGATGAACAAGAAAGAAAATATAGACATATAATGCAAGTCCCTTGCAGCCGGTTTAAGTATCTTACTTGTCATTTAGGCTACCTTCACACTGCTCCATTGCAAAAACGTGAAACTGAATACATTGAATACATTTTTGCAGCATTTCTGGTGTATTTTGCACTTGTGAAAAAAAAGGACACGTGACCAGGGGCGGACTGACCATTTGGAAACTCGGACACTGCCCGAGGGCCCGGGGTCAGTAGAGGGCCCCATGAGATGCCCCTGGTACCTTTTTCATAGGCTTTTTTGAGTTTGGGCAAGGACACAGGGGCCCCATGATCCCCTATTGCCCGGGGGCCACATGAGTTGTCAGTCCGCCCCTGCATGTGACTCAAAAAAATGCAACTGCAGGTGCTTTTGGATGTGTTTTTCATTCATTTCAATGTGGGTTGAGTTTTTGGTGCATTGTTTTTTTTACAGCACCAAACATGCATCAAAACTGCAGTTTGCAGGACTTTCAAAAATGTAACGAACACCGCAACTGACCAGTGTGAAGAGTTCCATAGGATTTAATGGTCATGTGTTTGTCTTCTGCTTTTTTTAAATCAAAAACGGAAGAAAGAATGATCGGTGTGAAAGGAGCCTAATCTCAAAGTGAGCCCAATATGTCGAAAATCCTGTTACTTTCTTCATGGAGAGCAGTATGGTCTATGGAATGCCCCCAAGTGTAAATGCAATATTTTAAAGGGGCCCAGGGTATCAGAAATGGTTTTGAAACTCCAAGAATATGTTTCCCAGTAACCTTTGCAATAAATATCAAGTCTATCATCTTGGAGACCCTCCGGATTTGGGGTCTCTGTTCAAAGGTTATAAGCTTAGGGCCTAAACGGATTATAAGACTGATTATAACACAGACAGCAGTGTGGCAGTATTATAAAGACAGCACAGACTGTTCTAACTGCCAGGCCTTACACCACAGAACATGGAAATTTGTAGGTCAAAGTTTGAGGCAAAATAAGGAATCAGAGCTGCAATCAGAAGATCTTAGTATAGAGGAAGTATATGGAGTACTCTTGTCACAGTTGTGATAGTCCACCTTGTCAGACACTTGCAGTCTGTGCCAAGAAGAACAGAGGCGTTCCTGTAAATTCTGAATGAACAATCATACAATAGGCTCTTGGCTCCTCTATAGAAGTGGGAGACGGTGACACTGGAGACAAGGAGAATCTTACAGAATGCTTAAAGTGTATGTAGACCCAACATCTTTTTTTTCATTATGGTTGGCATCATGCCTCTAAAACTGTATACAGTTTTAGCAATCTAATCAATTTGTTTTTGTGAATCTGTTTCTAACCTGGAGATCCTGACAGTAAAGAGCACTTCCTGTTGCAGGATGACAGCACTAAACCGCTGCCTCACCAATAACAGCGGCGTTGTCAGCCTGCCATGTGTACTCCTTTAGTTATTCATTGGGATGCCTATTAGGTCTATTGTTTAGGGAGCCCAATGGTTCACATGGCAGGCTGACAACACGAATACTAAGAGGCAGAGCTGTTACTAGCAGGATCTCCAGGTAAGAAACTTCACAACAAATACCATATTGTAACTGTACCTTATGAAAAACAGTTAAATTCAGCTTTACATATTTAAAGCTACATGTGAAAACCACAGTTGTAATGGTGTTTGCAATTATGGGCAAAAGCATCTTTTTATTTTAGTTAAGTGTTTCTAAAGGCTAAAGGTTTTTTACCTTCATGTATTGTATGCATGAAGGTAAAAAAACCTTCTGTGTGCAGCCCCCCCCTTCCTCCTTACTTGAACCCCCTCCGATCCAGTGACTTTCCACTGTAAGTAGAATCTCCCTCCTCATTGGATGAGACACCATTGGCTCCCACTGCTGTCAATCACAGCCAGTGAGCCAATAAAGAGAGCAGAGGGGCAGGGCCAAGCTGCGCCTCTATGGGGTAGATTTACTAAAACTGGAGAATGCAAAATCTGGGGCAGCTCTGCATGGTAGCCAATCAGCTTCTAAGTTCAGCTCATTCAGTTAAGCTTTGGCAATAAAACCTGGAAGCTGATTGGTTTCTATGCAGAGCTGCACCAGATTTTGCACTCTCCACTGTTAGTAAATAACCCCTTATGTGTCTTATTGATGTATAGCACAGAGGCTCGGAGACAAGTAGGCAGTGGTGCCCCCAGGGAGGGTGGCTTTCCCTGGGGGCACTGCTTGAGGGGGAGGAGCCAGGAGTGCTGGTGGGTACCCGAAAAGAAGAGGATCAGAGCTCCACAAAGCAGGCAAGTATAGATGTTTGTTATTTAAAAAAAAAAAAAAGCTTTAGTGTCAGTTTAATTTTGATACCTGAAGATCAAAAAAGAAAAAAAATAAATTTTTTCCAATTCTACATTTACAGACGTGGTACTAGGGTGATGTATCCCTTTCTGGTTTTACACATGAAACTTATACTTTAAAATCTTAAATATACAGTCAAATTTAGAAGTGGAGTCATATCTCTGTATCGATCATCTACCTGCACTGCAAAGCTGTCACTGTGTCCACAGGGTTTGGCTTTGGTAGTACTATGATCCTCTGTAGACAGTCTAGGAGATTTCTGGTACTGAGCAAACTGCAACTCCTGTAAAAAATGGGAAAATAATGACAACGCAAGCATATTGCTGCAAAGATGCTATATCAATTAATTAGCAAACTTACCTACTTAAGCCCGGGTTCACATACGGTGCGGTATATCGCATGTGATTCGCACAGGAACCGCACCGCATTCCTGTGCAGATCACATGTGATTTGTGTGCGATGCGATTGGAGTCATACATTTTGTATGGCTCTAATTGCACCGCACCCGCACCAAAAACGTACAGGACCCTTTTTTGGGTCCGCGCTAGAATCAGATCACATGGGTACTCACACCTATGCAATCTGATTCTGCACATGGCACTGCGTTTTTCGGATCACTTTTGGGGGTGTTGTTAACATACACACCCGCAGCGGCTCGCATGAACGGGGTGCGATTCTGATGCGGTGCGGAATTCGCACTGAAAACACTGTGAATTCCGCACCACATCAGTGTGAACCTGGGCTTAATGGAGCAAATATAAAAAAAAAGACTTCTTAAAAAGCATTTGTATCTTCATTTAAATTGCTGAATGGATTTTTAACGATTTCTTTGTAAATGGCCAAAATGTATATTAAAAGCCCATTAATTACTTGCACACCAGAAAACAAGCCGAGAGTGGCAGTGTCTGCTGGAAGCCAGTTGCTGCAAGCTATAGTAAGTGGCTGTGCAAAGACTACATATCCCAGCAAACTGTTGCCCCAACAATTTTATGCACAGACCACACTGTTGCAGCATCATAGAAAAACAAAAAAGACATAAAGAAAAGTAAACCATACTATGCCAGCTAAAAATGATTGATCAGATCGAGGAGCAATTTAAGGGTCAGCCCACCCAGGTGTAATATTTCACTTTCTGAATAGTTAACTACCCTGACAGTCTCCATCTTCTGGGAACTCTATTTGTGAGATCTTTGAGCCCAGTCCCTGGAACTGTGCCCATTATGAGGGGTTCCCATCATTCCTGCTCTGAGTTCCCAGGTCTGTACACCTGCTGTGCCCATTATGAGGGGTTCCAACCATCCTTGCACTGAGTTCCCAGGTCTGTACACCTACTGTGCCCATTGTGAGGGGTTCCCACCAATCTGGCTGTGAGTTCCCAGGTCTGTACACCTGCTGTGCCCATTATGAGGGGTTCCCACCATCCTTGCACTGAGTTCCCAGGTCTGTACACCTGCTGTGCCCATTATGAGGGGTTCCCATCATTCCTGCTCTGAGTTCCCAGGTCTGTACACCTGCTGTGCCCATTATGAGGGGTTCCAACCATCCTTGCACTGAGTTCCCAGGTCTGTACACCTACTGTGCCCATTGTGAGGGGTTCCCACCAATCTGGCTGTGAGTTCCCAGGTCTGTACACCTGCTGTGCCCATTATGAGGGGTTCCCACCATCCTTGCACTGAGTTCCCAGGTCTGTACACCTGCTGTGCCCATTATGAGGGGTTCCCACCATCCTTGCCCTGAGTTCCCAGGTCTGTACACCTGCTGTGCCCATTATGAGGGGTCCCCACCATTCCTGCTCCGAGTTCCCAGGTCTGTACACCTGCTGTGCCCATTATGAGGGGTTCCCACCATCCTTGCCCTGAGTTCCCAGGTCTGTACACCTGCTGTGCCCATTATGAGGGGTTCCCACCATCCTTGCACTGAGTTCCCAGGTCTGTACACCTACTGTGCCCATTCTGAGGGGTTCCCACCAATCTTGCTGTGAGTTCCCAGGTCTACACCTGCTGTGCCCATTATGAGGGGTTCCCACCATCCTTGCACTGAGTTCCCAGGTCTGTACACCTACTGTGCCCATTGTGAGGGGTTCTCACCAATCTTGCTGTGAGTTCCCAGGTCTGTACACCTACTGTGCCCATTATGAGGGGTTCCCACCATTCCTGCTCTGAGTTCCCAGGTCTGTACACTTGCTGTGCCCATTGTGAGGGGTTCCCACCATCCTTGCACAGCTGCTGTGGCCATCGTGAGGGTTTTCTTACCATCCCTGCTGAATTTTAAAAATTTATATTATGGAGAATGTAACAGGAGATGCTAGAACACACTAGGGTGGGCAGTAACACCCAAAATTCTCAGGTAAGCATTAACAGGGCTGGCAAGCAGGGAGTATTCAAGACTTATAATTCACAAGATGCGCATTAAAGTAGTATTAAACCCTCAGTTTTTTTATGTACTCGATAATGTCAAGCAGTGCAACATTACCCAGTACATTTTTCCTAATATCTGTGCACAAAAATGTACTTCGTATCCCAGCTCACAGTCCTCAGCACCGCACCCACTGAACATCTGTAGTGGAATGCGCTCCCTGTCCTTCACAGGCACAGTGCAGCAAGGACAGCACAGACTCTAGCTGTTGTCAGTAGCTGGAAGGAGTAGCAGGACGTGGCTTGCCACTGGAGCTATGAGATTCTGTGGACCTTAGGAAACGTATCCACAGTGCCAACCAGGAGCATGCACACAAAGCTGGCTCCACGGGTCTCTGTAAGTGGATGGAGCCATCTGAAGACAGCAAACTTAGAGGGGGGGGGGGGGGGTTCTTTTAACAGAGGATTTAAAAGCAGTCACCGCAGTAAAAGAAGAACTGAACTGCAAACAAGGCAAGTGCTGATTCTGGGGCACTACGTATATTTTTAAAAAAATTGGGTTCACACTATTGCGGCTCTGTGAGCCTTGTTTGCCTGGGCACAACAGTTCATTGATTTGAATGGGCTGCCGTACCTGAATTTCTTGCAGGAAAAAAGTTCTTGCCCCATTTTTAAACCGCAGCAGCCAGGAAATAGCATGCAGCTTTTGTACCATGTGATTTCCCAGTGGTTCCCGCACTTATGCTACAGTTTTAGATGCATGGGGGTGTCATTAACCTCCCTGGCGGTATTCCCGAGTGTAGCTCGGGGTAAAGTTTCAGTACCAAAAGTGGTAACCTGAGCTACACTCGGGCTTACCATGCAGCGCTGCTCCGGCATCTGTTCTTCACTTACCTTGTCCTGCGCTCCCGCGATGTCCCCCCTGCGGTGTCCCCGGCAATGTAATCCGGCGGATGCCGGCATCTGTCATCTGGGTTCCGTCCCCTGCAAGCGTCGGGATGTATGGGGGACGGAAAGGTGTGAAATTTGAAAATGACCAAAAGTGACATTCACTAAATACACTAAAATCACATAATATAACATTCCTGTATCAAACCATTTCACATACATTTTGTCCCGAGTGCTTTGTCCTGCGCCCTGCCTGCATTTTTACTGTTCTTTCTGCCTGGAAACTGAGAAACGTCCATGGCGTCCAAAAAGCGTCCCTTTAGGTCAAAATTGGTTTTAGACCGACTAGAGAACAGCGATAGTAAATCAGAACCACTTGCAGAATTGAGTGATAATGATTCATGGGGGAAATTCCTCATCAGACAATGAAAACGATTCTGCGACTTTCCTCAGTGATGTGCGAACTTGGCGCTATATTTCAAATTTCAGTGTTTTTGGTTTGATTATATTATTGAATTACATTTATTATTATTATATTATTATTTTTTATAATTATTTATTAAATTATAATTTATGATTTCGTGTTTAAAATTTTAACATACCCGGGATGTTTACTAGACTCTTGTTCGGACAGATTTCAGTGAGTTATTCCTAAATATTACAGGCCTACAATAAAAAAACTATTTCCATGCAAAAAAATGTACCGCTTTGAGCACAGAAATATGGACATAATCAGACCGCTAGGGAGGTTAAGAATGAATGGTAGTGTGTTTTGGCTGCGGGCGTGGGAACAGCTGTGATTCCCACATACGCAACCACAGAACTCATGAGGGTTTCGAATGCAAATGGATTGATGGACGGAACAGTGCACATACCCTTATGGCCTTACTCCCTCTAAACACAGAATAATCAACAAATAGGCACAAAGATTTGCAATAATTCATAAGATTTCCTTTAGAATCATGTGCTTCTGATGGTCTATACCTAGGGTATCCTTAAGGCCCCATCAACACACAAGACGCCAGATCAGAGGAAGACTGGGCTTTTTATGCCGTCCTGTTTGTTTAACAGACTGGAAGATTTAAAGCAAAACTATCAATGCAGATGACAGTGTGGCTATCTGTCTTATACTTTACAGTTTAGTGATTCAAACACATTTCACCCTCTTGGAACAGGCAAAGGTGTCCCTTTAAAAGAGCAAAAGGATGCCCCTACCAGTGGGGTTATGCTGATTCATAATCCAATAAACAGATGGGTCAGTAGCATAAAGATCTGCAAACTCTAAATAATGATGCTAACCCTTGACTGTACAGGCATTAACAAAACAGAAATAAGGACATAGCCATTTCTAACTGCTCCTGATGGGTGAGAGAAATAATAAAGATGTAGCAGGAGGAGGAATTTATAAAGCTCCTAGATTGTAAGCTCCCAGGATCAGGCCCTCTAATCCCTCTTGTATTGAACTGTATAGTTACTGTACACTATAATGTAAAGCGCTGAGCAAACCGTTGGAGCTATATAAATCCTGTATAATAATAATAATAAAGCACAGAACCACATGAAAAAAAGCAAAAGTAGTAGGAAGGTGGCAGCACAGCAGCTTATGAGTGATTAGCATTCTGCCTTGCAGCACTGGGGTTCGTGGTTCCAATTCCAACCAGGATGCTATCTACATAGAATTTGCATGTTCTCACTGTGCATGTGTGGGTTTCCATTGAGTACTCCAGTTTCCTGCCACACTTCAAAAACATTATGGTAGGTTAGTTGGCTCCTGATATTCCAAGATGGCTATCTCACCTCCTATCCACCCCAGCACTAGTGTAATTAAAGTTTGAGTCCTTAGAGAGAAGAGCACTATAGAAATATTGTAATTAATTATTAGAAGCTTGTCTGCAGTTCCTCAGGTACAACTTCCTCTCCAGCAAGATCAATGAGCAACACAGCAGTGGCTTCACGTACATCAGAATACCAGCAGTCAAAGAAATCAGTGGCTCAGATGGTACCCCACTGCAAATATACAGTTATGTGGGCCAAGGCACAGGATTGCCTAGGTAGAGGGAGAGCACTGTTACTTTTCCAGTGAATTGTATCTGGCTATGTAGTATGGTTGGAGTGACAGAGGCCATGTTATAGCATTCCATGATCAGGAAAATACAAATTACCTGTGATGTTAGCTGGTATTGCAGACTCTCTAGTTCTGAAAGGCGGCTCAGAGGTTTTGGTGCTTGAACCTTGAAGGATGGTGTTACGGTAACCAAATGTTTAGAAGTCTTTGCTACAAAACAAAATATCAAATCTATGTCAAAAAGTGGAACTGTAAAGTAAAAATTCAGGGGACTGGTGCATTTGTAACATGTTACACCCTGAATATATGTGCAACATGTTACAAAAGGGGAACTTATCCTTTAATGCTGCACTGTCCCAACGTGATAATACATTACATTAACATGTGTGTTAACACAATGTATAGTGTGAATGGGCCCTGACAGGTGGAAGTACATGTACACAGGGCTTTGTGTCAAAAGAAAAAACAGAACACAAGCGCGCAAGTCCGTGAGCATCTCAGGACCACAGTAACAGTCACTCGCTTGGGTGCAGCCCTCTAAAGATCAGGGAATCTTGATTATACTGGAAGAAAGCAAAGAAGGGGCGCACTCTCCTCATGCATTACCGTGGTAAAAAAGGAATTTATTTGAAAATGACAAAAAATATATATACTCACAAATCAAGATTCATAAAACAAGCCAATGTGTAACAGTCCAAGCAACTGGTATGCTAACAGCAGGTTACTAATGTGTTTCGGGAGACGTACTCCCTTCCTCAGAGCTCTGAGGAAGGGAGTACTTTCCCAAAACGCGTTAGCACCTTGTTGTTAGAATACTGGTTGCTCGGACTGTCACATTGGTTCCTAGCTTGTTTTATGAATCTTGGTTTGTGAGTATATATATTTTTATCATTTTCAAATAAATTCCTTTTTTACCACGGTAATGCACGAGGAGAGCGTCCCCCTTCTTTGCTTTCTTACAGGGCTTTGTGTCTTTTAATAGAAACTGGCCATAATTCAGCTCACGTGTACAACAGGCTATCTGACAGAAGCCAGCCATTTGAAAAACCAGCATTTGATCTGTATCCAATCAGTGCTGGCAACCTGCTGTGTTGAATGAAAAAAAAAAATTATATTGTGGGCACACAGCATTACAATGGTCATGTGGGCAGCACAGTGGCTTAGTGGTTAGCACTTCTGCCTGGCAGTACTAGGGTTGTTGGTTTGAATCTCAGCTACGGCACCACCTGCCTGGAGTTTGCATGTTCTCCCTGTGCCTGCGTGGGTTTCCTCCCACACTCCAAAGATATGCTGGTAGGTTAATTGGCTCCTGTCTAAATTTTCCCTAGTATGTGTATCTATGAATGTGAGTTAGGGACTTTAAATTGTATGCCCCTTGAGGGTTAGGGACTGATGTGAATGTACAATATATATGTAAAGTGCTGTGTAAATTGATGGCGCTATATAAGTACCTGAAATAAATAAATAATGTGCAAACCAATGTGAACTGGGACATGGCGGAGAAATGCCACTACATGTTCATTGCACAGTACTGTGCTCTAAGTGGCAGCAAGATGGCAGTAGTGCTACATGCATCCTTTCCTGTCTTATGCAGCAATATGCAAGGTAACTAAATTTCTCTGAGCTAAAATACAACTTTGTTCCCACTTTCTAATGCCTGGTGCACACAATGAGAAAATCAGAAAAAAAAAAAACAAAAACACATTCGGAGCAATCATCTGATCATTAGTACACAGCTTTTGAGAGCTGATGGCGACAGTTCGTGCAAAAATATCCAAAGGGACGAGCATGAACATTTTTCTTGTAAGATAACAGAACAAAATGTTTTTGTGACATTAGTATAGTATTTGTATGGAAAAAAAAAAATCACTCGGAAGCAAAATAATACATTACATCACTTCTGAAGTTGTATTCTGTCTTACGAGAATTTTATAACTTTCATTTTCAATATGAGACTAGCATGTGAACAAAAAACAAAACAGAGGATCATTCGTCCAATATTCTCAATATGTGTATTAGGCATAACATGCAATTTGTCTGCACCTGTGGATTTACAGGTGCTGAGAAAAGCACCCAGCTAATGTGCTTTGGGTAATATGCAGCAAAACTCCCTTTTTATCACAACACATTGCGATTATGTCCCTAGAAGTTTGCTCAAGGTTTTATAAAAAGGAAGGTGGAAACTATAGTTCCCTTAAAGCAGAACTCCAGCCAAATTTTCTTTTGTTCCCATGCGATGGGGCTGTGCCCACACAGCATTGGTTAACTGCTTGTTTTGTCAAGGGTGATCAGAAAACTTTATACTCACCCAATCCTCTGTTCCAGCAGTAAACAGCGCTCCCCCACAATACAGCAGTGGACTGTTCCTGATGTCTTCACATCCAGGGCAGGTCTATGGGCATGATGACGTCAGGAATAGTCCACTGCACAAGACAACTAAACTGTTGGAGGGATGGAGCTGAAAGTATATTTACGCTCTCCTATCCCATAGACAAAAACGAGCAGTTAACCCATGCAGTGTTTGCACAACCTCGCTGAATGGGAAAAAAAAAAACGTGCCCGCTTTAAATGCCAAACTGAACGAGCAAGTTCTCACTAAGTAGGAGAACCACTGTTACAGATAATAGAAAGGGCAACATCCTGAACAATATTCTTCCATCCTAGTGAGCCCCGTGATCTTCACCTTCTGCTGGGGCCACTTTTGCTCGTAGTCCGTTCTCTATTTCAGTCAGTTGTTGTGACTCCATGATGAGCCTAGAAATTTTTTTCTCAGCTTCTTTCAGTTTGGTCTTCAGTATGTAAGGGTTGGTTGATCCGTGACCCAATGTTGTAAGGGTGGCCATTTGCTGCTGGAGGGTCATCACCTCTTCTTGTAGCCGATTCACAGCTTCATTCTAGAAACAAAAAAATTAATAAATGCTGAACAATCTTTAAGGTCAATAAAACAGGATTTTGCACTCACTGCAAAAAAATAATTTTGTTGTTTCACTGAGGAACACAGGAAGTCTTTCCCCTACGTGGTATACAACCGCCTACAGGAGGATTAGACACTGGCAAACAAAAACTGTCCATCGGCCCAGGATAAACCCTCTTACTACCAAGCAGGCCTCAGTGTAGTAGCTAAGTAATTCCCGAGAGCATGATGAGAAAAACAGACAGTGACTCTGAACTTACTCTTGTGAAGGAAACAGTGTGATTTGTACTTTGTCCAGTACTAGACCCAGATACTCCAAAGGATAAGTAATTTCCAGCGACGATCTCTGAAGAACCATTTCACACGACTGTAATGTGTGGACAGTCAAAGCCATATTGTTCAACACAGTCTGTGTCACCTGTTCTTTAAGTATCCCAAAATGAGCATGACATGAGCGCGCAGGAATGTTAATACTAGGGCCAATACCTTGGCAAACACGTGAGGTGCAGATGAGAGACCAAAGGGCAGGGGCATGAATTGACAGTGTAGGAGACACACTGCAAAGTGTCGGAAGCACTGTTGTGCTAGAAAATGAAGGATATATGGATACATGTCCTTGATGTCCACAAAGGCCAGAAAGTCTCCCTGGTCAAGGGGGGCGATGACAGATCTGGGGGACTCAATTTGGAATTTCAGGAAAAAAATGAAGACACTCAGAGTCTTAAAGTGGTGGTAAATCCTTACAAACACCTTATAGCTTCCTTGGAAAAAATGTCCCGTACCCACCACCCCAGGCAAAGATTGGCGTAGGCAAGGGCACAAGTGCCCATGGCCATGCCCTGCACCTGGTGGTAGTGGGACCCCTTGAAAAGGAACCAACTGTGAGTCAAAATAAAAAACAAAAGCTTCAATAGGAACTCATTAAATTCTCATTTTCGAGTGTTCCTGTTCAAATAGGAATGTCACCTTGCTCATGAGGGATGCTAGAGTAGCGTGCCTCCACATCTAAAGTCACCAACAAGGCGTCAGGAGGTACCTACAAACCTTCGATATGTCTCAAGAAATCCAAAGTATCCTTGATATAGGATGGCAGTCGCACAACATGGGGCATAAGAAAGAACTAAATAAATCTACTAGCATTTTTGATTAAGGAACCTATCCCTGACACGATAGGTCGTCCTGGTGGAGTCATGGGATTTTTGTGGACTTTAGGTAGTACATAAAACATAGGATCACGAGGGTGTTTTGGATTGAGAAAATCGTAAGTGTCTTTGTCAATCAATGCCTCCAAATAGGCCGCACTGATTAGATCTTTGTAATCTAAGTTGGAATGGGTTACAAATCTACCCAATTTACCTTCCATTGCCTTCATGCAGATGCATGTACCTTAACCTCCCTGGCGGTATGATTATTTCAGATTTTTGGTGCTGAAAGCGGTACCATTTTTTGCATGGAAATATGTATTTTTTTTATTGTAGGCTGTAATTTTTAGGAAAAAAACTCACTGAAATCTGTCCGAACAAGAGTCTAGTAAACATCCCGGGTATGATAAAATTTGAAACACAAAATCATAAATTATAATTTAATAAATAATCATAAAAATAATATAAAAATAATAAAAAATTTAATTCAATAATATAATCAAACCAAAAACACTGAAATGTGAAATAGAGCGCCAAGTTCGCACATTGCTGAGCTCAGTCGCAAAATCGTTTTCAGTTTCTGATGACGAATTTCCCCCACGAATCATTATCACTCAATTCTGTAAGTGGTTCTGATTTACTATCGCTGTTTTCTAGCTGATCTAAACCGCTTTTGACCTAAAGGGACACTTTTTGGACGCCATGGACATTTCTCAGTTTCCAGGCAGAAAGAACAGACAAAATGCAGGCAGGGCGCAGGACAAAGCACTAGGGACAATATGTATGTGAAATAGGTTGAAACAGCAATGTTTTACTGTGTAAAATGAAAAAAAAAAAAAATGACATTTTTTAAAATTTTTAAATTTCCCGCCGCCGGCGGCGGCGGCGCCCGTACGTCCCGACGTCACAGGGACAGGACACAGAAGCCGGATGCCGGCATCGGCCGGAGGAGATGGCTGGGGACGCTGCAGGGGACACATCGTGGGAGCGCAGGGTAAGGTAAGTGAAGAACACATGCAGGAGCAGTGCCGCATGGTATTCCCGAGTGTAGCTCGGGGTTACCGCTTTTGGTACTGAAATGTTACCCCGAGCTACACTCGGGAATACCGCCAAGGAGGTTAAAGTATTTTAGTTGTCCAACTGGTCTGATATGTATAAAAATGGTAGTGATTATAATGTGTGCTTATCAACTTATATCTCTTCATATAGAAGTCTCCTTACAGCTCCTGAAGAAGCGATATTATCGAAAAACATGTTGAGCTATCGCACTTACTACTATCAGAGTATCCTCTAACTTTTGCCGAGTTTCGGTATTTCTTACTGTGGGACCTACAAGCAGTACATGTATCTGCACTGATTATACATAGCTGTATGTTACAGGGGTGGTTCATACTCTGTAATAATTTTATAATTGTATGTATCATTGTATGTCTATGTATGCTTAATAAAGTGATATTCTTTTATGAACCATTGTTGTAGTGTCTATAAAGTTCATAAGGGTTTTTTTTTGCCAATACTTTTTGAATGGGATATCCAAAAAGCTTATATAGTTGTGATGGTAAGGAGGCCACAAACTATTACAGTGTATCTACATTGTATGGGACGCCCAGACTACATATCATTTTACATTTTAAAACCTCAAACTATAAATTATGCACAGTACATAAGCAATGGATGATACTACAATGCAAACATCACATTAGGAGCCCACTATGGCACTAGAGAGATTGATGTGCCACAACAGATCTAACTGGCAAATTGCCATGCTCCAGAAATGTCACGTGGGGGAAGTGGGGAGACGACATTCCACCAAGTTTTTAAAGGATAAGTTCACCTTTAGGGTGGAACATGTAACATTTTTCCAAATCTGCAGCCGCCGTCCACTGCCTCCATCCCTAGAAGTTCCCGTACTAGCTTTCAAATTTGAAAAAAGCGTGGCCATGCACACACACAGCCACGTCATTCACTCACAGAGTTCTGTTAACGAATGAACTGCAAGTCCTGACAGCCTTAGCGGCTGTCAGTTTGTAGCTTTCAATGAACTACCGTGGAGCACCGTGGTAGTTCATTGAATCTTCCTGTCAGTGTAGCTGCTTGACCCTACATCCCATACAGGCAAGCAGATGTACTAACAGGTCTGCTGGAGACCTGCATGGCATCCCATTTCCCTATGTACATAGCAGCAGCGATCAGCAATACTTTACAGGCTCCTGCAGACAAAAATAAAAAATGACATTTTTACCTGCAAATAAATATTTTTGTGCAAAAGATGAACTTATCCCTTAACTGTCCAAAATACCACGTATTGATGGTCAACTTTACTTGACATTTTTTTCACACTGGAAAAGTACTGAGCACATTATTAAAGTGTTACTAAACCCATGACCCTGCATTCGCTATATCCGGTCTCCCACAGTACATGGAAATGCAATTATTTTAGTAAATATAAACTAATCAAAACCTTTTCTACTGAGAGAGAGGTGTGTGTGCGTGTGCGTGGTCCAACTGAGCACCGCTCTATCTTGTAGGAGGAATTTTCATTCTCCTGTCACTGTCCTTTAAGGCTGTATGACCCCTGACCCTCTGTCCAGACGGTGTTGATTGGCCTTGTGCTGATCACATGCAACCCCCCCCCCCCCCCCCCCAATACACACGAAACAGAGCATATGCAGACTTCACACTGTTGCTCTGTACTATGGCTGATGGATTTGGGAACAGTAAAAGGGAAGGATCAGAGAAGACAGGATCACACAGCCTTTTTTACACAATGTATGATTAACCCCTTAGGTTCCAGTGAGTATAACAAGCATGCTTTACTGCATCTACAGACTGAGTTTACTGTTTTTGCTTTAGTAACACTTTAGGGCGAAATGCTGACCTCATATCCTAGTCTGACTGACTCCAGGTTTTTCTTCAGGTTGCCTTTAAAATACTTTTCAGCCTCTTTCCAGGCTTCACTGAGCTGTGATTCCAGTTCAGACTGTCTCTGTTGGAGGCTAGAGATGCTGGCCAGGGTGTGACTAGCCTGATTGTTCAGCTGAAACTGAAGCTGATTGATTTCTGCCTGTTTATGCTGGACCTAAACAAACAGCCATTCAAAATAATATGCTTAGGTAATAATATGCTTATTCATATGATCACTTAACTATTATATTAATAAGCTTCTCCAATCCTATGGAACTCCCTACCCCAATCTGTCCAGCTTTCTCCTAATCTATCCACCTGTAGACGATCCCTGAAAACCTCTCTCCTTAAAGAAGCCTATCCTGCTTCTACCTAGTAAACTGCCATTTATTTCCTCCATCAGCTCATCCCCCCCACAGCTATTACCTTTTGTATCACTCAACTCTTCCTCCTAGATTGTAAGCTCTAATGAGTTCCTCTTGTACCAAATTGTATTTTAACTGTAATGTCTACCTTCATTTTTGAAAGCGATGCGCAAACTGTTGGCACTATATAAATCATGTATTATAATAATAATAAAAAAAAATTGTGCAGACATGGTCATCCCATTTCCCTATGTACTGTATGTTCTTTAGAACAAAGGTATACCGCTTAGGCCAACAATCCAGATTAATCCACAACAGGTGCAGGATCTGGTTAGCCACCACACACAATGCAAAAGAAAGAAGGGTCAGCCGCACAGCGGAGGATAGATGAATATAGTGTGTATTTATTGATCCATAGGACACACAAAACACCAGGACATGAATACAGGACCTGATAAAGCGTCTCACACGATCTCGTGCTTAATCATAACCACTGATTAAGCGTGAGATCGTGTGAAACGCGTTAACAAATCCTGTATTCATATCCTGGTGTTTTGTGTGTCCTATGGATCAATAAATACACACTATATTCATCTGTCCTCCTGTATGTTCTGTAGCTGTGACATTGTAAGGATCATCTGGAAGGGCAGGAGCACTGTGGAGAAGATCAAATGTATGAAGGCCATATGGATCCTCAAAAATGTCTGTCAGAAGGGGCTTTCAGCTTGTAAAATATAATCTGTCAGTGCCGTCTGATGTGGGCACCATAGTTATTATCCACAGGACTAAGCAAACCTTTTTTTTTATTGAAACTCATTCTTAATTTCCCCCTTAAAATAATTAAAGGGATGTCTACTTTAGTTATAAAGCAGTTCAAGAGATGATTGGCTTAATTTACAGGGAACCTGTCTACAGCTATGTGTCACAACCAAATCCCAGCAAACTATCACCTGACTTCTCAGGAGTGGTGCAGACCAGTCACTATGCATGCTGCTGCTGAAGTGTGCTCTGGCCTGGAACAAGCATCACTTTCAAATTTGGGAATGGTCATTGACAGCGTTCACAGCTATGACGTGTAACAGCTATTTTGGATGGGTCAACTTTTCAATCTATGACTGGTCATGATGTTACCTTTAAACACCCATTTTTAAGCCTGTGAATGACTTATGCAATCAGCACATGTCATGCTGCACAGATGGAACAGGCCAGAACAAATGGGACTCTTCTATGTAAGTCTTCATGTCTTTTTACAGCTTTGTTTGTCTAACAAAAACATGCAGTACAAAGTGCTAGCTTAGCACATTTACAGTCAGGTCCATAAATATTGGGACATCTACACAATTCTAACATTTTTGGCTCTATACACCACCCAATGGATTTGAAATGAAACAAACAAGATGTGCTTGAACTGCAGACTGTCAGCTTTAATTTGAGGGTATTTACATCCAAATCAGGTGAACGGTGTAGAAATTACAACAGTTTGCATATGTGTCTCCTACTTTTTAAGGGACCAAAATTAATGGGACAATTGGCTTCTCAGCTGTTCCATGGCCAGGTGTGTGTTATTCCCTCATTATCCCAATTACAATGAGCAGATAAAAGGTCCAGAGTTCATTTCAAGTGTGCTATTTGCATTTGGAATCTGTTGCTGTCAACTCTCAAGATGAGATCCAAAGAGCTGTCACTATTAGTGAAGCAAGCCATCATTAGGCTGAAAAAACAAAACAAACCCATCAGAGAGATAGCAAAAACATTAGGCGTGGCCAAAACAACTGTTTGGAACATTCGTAAAAAAAAGGAACGCACCGGTGAGCTCAGCAACACCAAAAGACCCGGAAGAACACGGAAAACAACTGTGGTGGATGACAGAAGAATTCTTTCCCTGGTGAAGAAAACACTCTTCACAACAGTTGGCCAGATCAAGAACACTCTCCAGGAGGTAGGTGTATGTGTGTCAAAGTCAACAATCTAGAGAAGACTTCACCAGAGTGAATACAGAGGGTTCACCACAAGATGGAAACCATTGGTGAGCCTCAAAAACAGAGTTTGCCAAACAGCATCTAAAAAAGCCTTCACAGTTCTGGAACAACATCCTATGGACAGATGAGACCAAGATCAACTTGTACCAGAGTGATGGGAAGAGAAGAGTATGGAGAAGGAAAGGAACTGCTCATGATCCTAAGCATACCACCTCATCAGTGAAGCATGGTGGTGGTAGTGTCATGGCGTGGACATGTATGGCTGCCAATGGAACTGGTTCTCTTGTATTTATTGATGATGTGACTGCTGACAAAAGCAGCAGGATGAATTCTGAAGTGTTTCGGGCAATATTATCTGCTCATATTCAGCCAAATGCTTCAGAACTCATTGGACGCTTCACAGTGCAGATGGGCAATGACCCAAAGCATACTGCAAAAGCAACCAAAGAGTTTTTTAAGGGAAAGAAGTGGAATGTTATGCAATGGCCAAGTCAATCACCTGACCTGAATCCGATTGAGCATGCATTTCACTTGCTGAAGACAAAACTGAAGGGAAAATGCCCCAAGAACAAGCAGGAACTGAAGACAGTTGCAGTAGAGGCCTGGCAGAGCATCACCAGGGATGAAACCAGCGTCTGGTGATGTCTATGCGTTCCAGACTTCAGGCTGTAATTGACTGCAAAGGATTTGCAATAAAGTATTAAAAAGTGAAAGTTTGATTTATGATTATTATTCTGTCCCATTACTTTTGGTGCCTTAACAAGTGGGAGGCACTTATGCAAACTGTTGTAATTCCTACACCGTTCACCTGATTTGGATGTAAATACCCTCAAATTAAAGCTGACAGTCTGCAGTTAAAGCACATCTTGTTTGTTTAATTTCAAATCCATTGTGGTGGGTGTATAGAGCCAAAAATGTTAGAATTGTGTAGATGTCCCAATATTTATGGACCTGACTGTATGTTGCTTGAAAACAGCATGGCATATGCTAAAATTCCCTTTTAAATCATACCAGGAAATCGGTCATATCAAACACATTGTAGAACATTTACATGTTAAATTTGTTGGTTCTGCTGCATTATTAATAAAGGTCCGGAGTTACCTTCTGGTTAAGTTCAGCAACCATTGAGTCTAGTTGGGCTGTTCTGGATTCCAGTCTCTTAGCAGCTCCTGCACATGCCACTTCATCTGCTCCTAAAGCACCTATAAACACAAAACCAAATATTGCAGGGAAATACACATTCTTGCTATTTTACACCGTATTAGCAAATGTTAAATGAACCAGAAATAATAATGCACAAAGCCATATGAAAAGTACTCTATCATCAACATGTCTTTAGCTACCTATGGTCTCATTTGAGTTCCTGATACGAGTTTGGATGTAGACGTTGTCAGGTAGTACCGGTTTTGAAGTGGTAGGTGGATCAGGAGGATCTTTAAGTGGGGGAGACAACTGAAGCTGAACTTCCATCTCCCTGTTCCTTTGTTTTACATCCTTGATCTCCTCCACAAAAGACTTCAAATAATCTAAACAAAAAAAAAAATCATAAAAACAAGGTTGGACAATGACATTTTTAAAAGGTTTTCCATAGTAAAGATGGAAACAATTTATTTTAAAAAGAAAGAAACTAAAGCAGAAGAGTAGAGAATTAAGAAATTAACGATGATCCATTTCATACAAATTGTTATCAAACACAAAAGTGCTTAACCGCGTCCCCAGCTCCCTATAGCAGAAATACTGCTACAGGGAGGCAGGGGTGTATATACGTGATTTTACATTTCTGGGTAGGGGTCCCGGCTGGTGATTACCCGCCAGAATCGGGGATTACCAAGGATCTCTGACAGGGAGGAGGGCTGCTTTGTTTACTAACAGTCCTCCTCCCTGTCGGCTCGGGCACATTGCTCTGGATGGCTGTGCATAGCTCGGGCACATTGCTCTGGATGGCTGTGCATAGCACAGCCATCCAGACCAGTGTGCTTACAGTGAAGCACCAACAGTCCGCCCCCCCCCCCAGTAAAACCCTCCTAACACACAGTTAACCCTTTGATCACCCCTCAGTGCTCGGGCACACTGCTTTGGATGACTGTGCACAGCACAGTCATCCAAAGCAGTGTGATTACATTGACACACACTGACACCGTCCCTTAGTAAAACACTCCCAGCACGCAGTTATCCCTTTGATCGCCCCTCATATTAACCCCTTGCTGCCCAGTGTCAGTGCTTTTTTTTAAACACTTATCACTGTATTGGTGTCACTGGGGATGTTAATGACACCAAGTCAGTTCCCCCTCAGTGTCAGAATGTCCGCTGCAGTCCCGCTATAAGTACTAGTAAAGAAAAAATAAATAAATTCCAGTATATATAAAGTCATTTGTGAAAGCTATAACTTTCACGTAAACCAATTAATTTGGTTTAAATTAAAAAATTTTTTTTACTGCACATGTCTAATAACAAAAAGTCAAAAATATAGTTTTTTTTTCTCAAAATGTTTTTAAAGCGCAAAAAGTAACCACACAGGCGATTAAATACCACCGCAAAAAAGCTCAATTTGTGGGAAAAAAAGGACGTAAATATTTTTTAGGTGCAGCATTGCATGACTGCGCAACTGTAATTTAAAGTAACGCAGCGATGTAACGCAAAAAATGGCCTGGTCAGGAAGGGGGGGGGGGGTAAATCCTCTGGAGGGCAAGTGGTTAAGGAATACAGTGGTGTCACTTCCCTGTCTACAGCTTGCTGATTGGACAACTAAGGAGCAGCAACTGATAAGTCATCAACTCTGCTCTGTTTGCTCATTTTGCTGGCAATACATCGTCTAATCCAGGGGTGTCTAACCTCTGGCCCAAGACTGCTATGAATGCTGCCCAACACAAAATCATAAACTTACTTAAAAATGTTTTTTTTTGATGATTTTTTTATAAAAATGTGTTTACAGTTAGCGAACACATGTGGCTGAAGAAGAATTTGACAGTGGAGTTGATTTACTAAAGGCAAAATAGTCTGTGCACTGCAAGTGCAGTTGCTCTAGATCTGTGGGGAACATGCAAGGAAAATAATTAAAAAAAAACATTTTTGCTTGCACACAATTGGATGATAGAAATCAGTAGAGCTTTCCCTCATTTCAGAGCTTACCCCCTCCCCCCCTCAGATCTAGTGCAACTGCACTTGCAGTACACTTACAGTATACTTGTAAATGCACACACTATTTGCCTTTAGTAATTTAACCCGTGGTAACATAAAAAAAAAAAGCAATGACACTGTACTAATGGCACTGGGCAGGAAGGGGTTAATATGAGGGGCGATCAAAGGGTTAACTGTGTGCTGGGAGTGTTTTACTAGGGGGCGGTGTCAGTGTACTTCACTGTAATCACACTGCTTTGGATGGCTGTGCTGTGCCAAGCTGACAGGGAGGAGAACTGTTAGTAAACAAAATAGTTCTCCCCGTTGGAGATCCTTGGAAATCACCGGACGCCAGGGAGCAATCAAATCAAAGGCCAGGACCCAGTGATTGACAGCTGTGGGTAGTGAGCGCTCACGGCTTGCACGCGCCCCCTACCCTGAAATGCATAATCACGAACATAGAAGTGATTTTGCACACCCGTGATGCCCTGTAGCAGTATTTCTGCTATAGGGCAGTTGAGAAGAGGTTAAAGTGATATTAAAGGCTTACATGAAAGAATAATAACAAACAAGTTATACTTACCTTCTCTGTGCAAGGGTTTTGCAGAGCATCCCCGATCCTCCCCTTCACGGGTCCCTCGCAGGCAATCTGGGCTCCTCCCCTCTGCCGATTGCCCCTAGAGCAAGCCGCCTGCTCTGAGGGCCCTAGTGTGTGCTCGCTCCCAAGCCAACCCTGTGTGTCCATAAGACAGACTGTGGCTCGGCCCCGCCCCCTCCACTGGCTGTGATTGACAGCAGAGGGAGCCAACGGCTCCCGCTGCTGTCTCTGAGCCAGTGAGGAGACAGAGAGCTGGGACAGTAGTCACTCTCAAGCACATCACAGGCTCGGGTAAGCATTGGGGGGGGGGGGGGGTGTCTTTACAACCAATTTAAACCTAAAATAAAAAATCGGTGTCACCTCCCATCTGTCTGCCAGTGATGAATTACAAGAGTGGCTGGACAGATATACAAATTTTTTGGCAGACAAGACAGTTCACATGTTCATTTCAACTTGTATTATGCAGTCTGCTTGAGGTCAGAGCTCTGGGGCTCTGATCTGAAAACGGAAAGCTATATTCTATCACTTTTGGGTGAACACACTTGTATGCCAATTGTGATATTTTTTACAATTTTTTGAACAGGTAGGAACCCAGCTGTTCTTCACCCCTTTATATCTCACCAGTAGAAGGCGCAGTCACACCAGTGTTGGCAGATGGAGGTTCTGTCCGTTCACCAACTGCGGGTGACATCTGCTCGCACAACATCTCCATCTCCTTCCTCATCTGGCCAATCACCTGACGCAGTTCTGAATTTTGCTCCTGCAATTTCTGAATCTCACTTGATACAAAGTCTGGCATTGCTGCCAGTGTCTGTGTGAATATAAATTGTCATTTTATCATTAGCTGGAACTGTGTATATAGAATGTCAAGCAACGGCTTAAGTACATGAACAAGAGAATGAAAAATGAAGGATTCTAAAATATAAGTAAAGGTGGATAGAGGGAAGACTGAGTGTAATCCTCATTGGGCAGTTTCACTGTCTCTCTTTGTCCTGTTTATCAATGAGAGTTAAAATGAAAGAAAAATCCCCAAATTTAGGCTGCCGCCAGAACAGGAATAGAGGGCAAATCTTCCAATGGGAACATTAGTTCTTGTGACCTTGGTGACAACCAGGGATTTCATCATTTTGGAGGAATTTCCTCTCACTTCCTGTTTTGGCTATTGGACATGAAGTGAATGGAAATCTCTCCAATGGGACACAGAAGGCAAAAATAAACACTGACAGGAGTTGTCACTGTAGATGGAAAGGCCTGGGAAAAAAAAAACTGAAAAGTTTTTTCCCCAAAGCTGTTTTTTGTTTTTATCCCGGAAAAACTGAAAAAAATAAAAGAAGTGTGGAATATTTTCTATCATAATAATAAGTAATATATTTATGACATGGTATTCATACTATGTAACATGAAGACCTTAATAAAGGATTTCTGAAACTTTATGTAAAGTCCTACATTATTGTAAGTTCTCTTAGCTGGTGACAAGCAAATCTTAAAATACAATTTAAGGCCCCTTTCACCCGGCCAGACTAATCAGGTCCACCTGTCAGTTTTTCAGGCAGACCCTCCATTACTCTCTATAAAGTGGCGGAAGTAAACGGACATGTGTCTGTTTACACACACCTATATCAGATCCAAACCTATCTGCTAAAGTCGGACGGATAAGGATCCCTTTCCCATCTGTCTAGTGGATCGGATGATAGTCAGATGACAGGCTGTCCGCTTACATCTGCCGCTCAGGACAGAGGACTGTGTCTTTGTCCGCTCTGCATAGGCTGATTGGACATAGACCAACCATCCATTGTGCTCAGTGGGGATCAGTGGACAGATTCCTCGCTGAGCAAGCAGACTTCTATAGGAGTCCACCCTGTGTGGAAGGGGCCTAAGTAACACTGTACAGAGGTTAGAGAAAAATATGGAAACACCACGTGATTTGGGGGTGTGCAAGTGACACCATGGGGTTTATTTACTAAAGCTGGAGAGTCCAAAATCAGACTCCCTTCTGCATAGAAACCAATCAGCTTCTAACCTCAGCTTGTTCAATGAAGCTTTGGCAATGAAACCTGGAAGCTGATTGGTTTCTATGCAGAAGTGAGTCTGATTTTGGACTCTCCAGCTTTAGTAAATAAACCCCCATGTTTCACGTTGAAAGCAGAAGTGATGTAACACTCTCTTGCTTCCGCTGTGTGATGAGACACCTAGCTAACAGATGGGAAACCTCACTTTCGTCATTCACTGTGTGTGCTGCTAGTAATACGGAGTCATGACAGAGCTTCAAAGAGGGCAAATTGTTGGTGCCGCTTAGCTGGTGCCTCTGTGACTGAAGTTGACAATTTATCTGCTGCGTCACGAGCAGGGTGGATTTGATTTAAATCACGATTTAAATCACTAGTCAGTAAGGCTTGAATTAAATCCTAGTTTTCTACATAAAGACTAATTCTTGCTGGTATAACTTTAATATACAAGTAGATGAAGATTTTTAGAATAACAACTTTTCATATTAGTTTTTTTTATCCCCAGTTTAATAGGTTAATCATTCATATTTGGACAACTTTTCTGTTGTACTTAGGAAGGAGAAAAATAATCATTACCTTAATAATAACAATTTAAATAGATTTATTCAACTGAAACAATAACATTCCAGCATATGTGATTTGCTTAAACATCAATGTTTGGTAACTAATTTGGCTAAACAAAATCTATATATTTGAAGAAACTTAGACTGTCAGCCCCTTCCTCCTCACACTTAGTTTCACTTTCTTCTTGTGCAGATCTATTCCACTCCAAACAATCAGAAAGATATTGTTTCTATTCTATTCACTGAACTTCTTGAAACTTAGCACTGAAGGGGTTGATTCTGTATTCATAGGTTTGTAGAAGTTAGGATGAAGGTCTTTTTCTTAACTCTGTTCATGTTATAACATTTTTGCTGTGAAGAAGAGGCATGTGATCTCCGCTGAGTCAAATTCAGTTTTGAGAACTGCAAAAGTAAACCAATCATCTGTGATAATATCTTGTAGGGAGAGAAACTGCCCAATAATCTTACAAAAACCTCTGGAAGAGCATGACATTGTGAATGGATTCATGGAATTTATTTACCAAAAAAATTAAACATATACAGCCTTATTCTACATAATTAAAAAACTAATCTTTATTTCATGATGGAATAACCTTTGGATGGTAATATATTTTCCTCATAAAGCATTTTATTTTAAAAAATCCGATTTGAATCAAAAAAATCTGATTTAATTAAAAAAAAATCAGATTTTTTGATTTTTTTTAAAAAAATCATTGATTTTTATCCACCCTGGTCACGAGGTACAGTATCAAAGGGTATGACAGCATATACAGTTTCCAGGAAACCGTTGTCTGATAAGCAATAGCGCAGTCGAAATGGTCAGCTGACCAAAAAAAAACAAAAAGGACATTGCGCAGGACTGTGACCCGGAATAGGAAAACAACTGCTGCAAAAGTGACCGCAGAGCTCAATCTCAGTCTTCACAGGACTGATGTGGTCATCTTCTGTCAATAGCTAACCAATAGGAATGGAGAACAACACAGCACAGCACAAGCACAGTTGTCATCAATCTTATCAGGTTGGATGAAATCTGTAGCACAAATAACAGTGAAATTAAAATACGATGTTTGTTCACTTGAAACTGATAAGGCACTACTTCAATAAAAACAAAGGACAATAGAGATTAGATAAAGGAAACAGTCATATGTTTTAATTATGGTTATCTGATAACAGCTAGGAAATGCCACTATTTTTACAGAAATTGTGTAACAAGACTGAACTGCTTCACAGCAACTGCAGCAACTATGCTGATGCCTACAGGAGGAATAGAAGCTGGCAAACCAAATTACACACAAAATAGGCCAGCTCAGAGTACTACCGTCCTCAGTTTTTCAGCTAAGCAATACTGACAGCATGACCATGAACACAGAGGCGACAGACCTGTCCCTCAATGGACTCCAAGAAAATAATTTTATGGCGAGCACAAAATACTTTGTTTCTTTCTCAGCCAAAGAGGGGAACACGCTTGTGACCTCCAAAGGCAGTCCAATTGAGGAAGGTGGGCAACAGAACAAACACCAACAGGCCCAAGAAAAACAAGAAACTTGGAATTGCTTGCGGCTCAAGGAGATGCATGAAGTACCTTATGCCAAAAGCTGACTTCAGATGAGGTCTGAACATCAACCTGGTAGAACCGAGCAGCAGGTGTCAGCTTTACAAATTAGGGAAACAATTGCTTGATGCCGAAAATCCCAAGAAGAACTCACAGATCTAGCTGAGGTCCCCTTGACAGGAAAAGGTGGAACCTGATCCCTGAGATCTTGGATAATTGTTTGACTGAGCTACCTATAGATGGTGGAATGAGAAGCTGTTGCACCCTTAAGGAAACCATCTGGCATGACCAAAAAGGAAAGCAGTACTACCTCCTTTTGGGTAATTATATAGTGTGGACTTCTCCAATGGGTTCAAATGGTGGTTTCAGAACCAGATTCAGATAAACAGAGAGATAAATGAACAAAAGGAGTAAGGTAGGCCATAGATGGGCCATTTATCGGCCGAATTTTAGGCTGATAAACGAAAAATCGGGTCGGCTCCGTTACCGATGCTGCCAGCAATGTCCACGAAAAACGGACGTTTTACGTGGATTTTCCAGCATGACCAATAAAAATAATTGTGAAGATCCACGAAAAATGGCCAACGGCTGGCCCCACCAACAGCGTGAATATCGGCCGATTTTTCATGCAGACGAAAATTCGGTCAATAAACGACCCGTACCCTGCATCCACAGGGTAACCAAGTACCCTGCATCCATAGGGTAACCAGGACTGGCATCTGTGGAGAGGATCTTCCAGAAGATGAAAAGGAAGGACTTCTCCAATTCCAAAGGCAGATTCCTAAACCACCAGGCTGGAGACAACCCAGTCCTCAGTTTCTAAACAAATCAGTCTGTCCTGGGACTTGATTGACTTATCCCACGATAACAGGATGTTGCTTTGTACAAGTCAGGAGTGAAACTGGGTAAATGTGGCTGACTCGAAGGAGGCTACCATCGGGCCCAAGGCTTTCATGCAAAAGCAGAGTCAGACAACTGCTGGACTGCAGCGTTTGAAACTGAGATTGGAGAGTTTGACATTTCTCCTGTTTAGGAAACACTCTGGCCTGAGTTGTGTTCAGAACTAGACTGAGATACTGCCAACAATGGGTCTGTTCAAGTGATAATTTCTAACAGTTCGGGATCAGTCTGAACCACTGTAACATCTCTACAGCAAAGCCATATTGTCCATCAGGGCCATGCGCTGCCTGCTCCTTTAACAGGAGGTCCTTTAAGTATCCCACAATGGAGATGCCACGAGAGCACAGTAGGGCTAATACTAGAGCCAGCACCTTTGTAAACACCCAAGGTGAAAACAAGAGGCCAAAGGACACAGGCACAAACTGGTAATGTAGTGGCCCCACATAGGAAATTCTGAGGCACTGAAAAAATAGGTAAAAGTATGTACACATTCTTGATGCCTACAGCAGCCAGAAAGTCTTCCTGTGTTGCAAAGCGATGACAGACCTGGTGGATTCCATGTGGAATTGCTGAGATCAAATGAAGACATTCAGAGCTTTGAGATCTAAGATGGAGCATATGAGAACTGTGAATATGTTGAGAGTAAAATTCTTGAAAACTCTCTGACCCAGGAACTGGGGCAAAGACACCTTAGTCCAGAAGACCTGAAACAGATCTGTTAATCTCTGCTAAGACACAGGAAGGTTGTAGGTGAAAAACAGGAGGTGGGGGCAGGCAACTAAACTCCAGTTTGTAGCCCTGGGATACCACCTCCTCCACCCTAAGCACCTGCAACGGAAATGGTCAAGGCCCAGCCACCGAGAGGCCGCATATTTGCGTATGCTCGGTGTGAAGGGGTAAATAATGGTATCAAGAGTATATCCAAAGAGATATTGGTCATGGGGACCAGATCCCTTTTGGGTTCCAGTTCTGCAGTCCAGCACATTAACCAGGTGTCCTACGAATGTGTACCAACACAAGACTCATGTGGAGATAAGCCAGAAAGTTTCCAGCAAAGCATCACAATTGAAGTTTTAAGTTAGAGCCATTTGCTCTACATATTAAATGAGCGAGGGATCAACTGCAGAAGTGTTAATATTTTGACCAGACAGCCATGGTCGGAGAAAGTAAAGCCACTGCTAAGATACGGTGAAGAACAGTATAGAACAGATGTTCTCGAAGTGGCTTCTAACCTCTCATCAGTTTGGTCCTTCAAGACAGATATATCCTCCCCCAGTATGATGGTCACATAAGGCAGGACACTGCCAAATCCAGAGTGGAGATAGCCCACTTTTGTCCAAAATCCTCCCCAAACAGGTATAGTGCTAAGCCTTGAGCAAAGAGAAAACATCTTGTTAGTTTGTTTCTGATCTCCAAAGAGAAAGTACGAACAGTGGGTGCAATGGGAAGGTTTTTATAGCCTTAGGGACTCTAAAAGTCCCAAGATTTGAAACAGTACTAGTAGGCACCAGGCTGATTTTCTAGTTTCAGAATTGTATGCACATCACTGATCAGAACTGAAATGGTCTCTTTTAATTTGGTACTACTAGCAGAAACCTGCTAGTATAAACTCATCCGGGAAGGACTAGAGTGACCTAGAATTACACAGTGGTTGATTTACTAAAACTGGAGAGTGAAAAATCTGCAGATGTGCATGGTAGCCAATCAGCTTCTAATTTCATCAATTTAATTAAGCTTTGACAAACAAACCTGGAAGCTGATTGGTTTCTATGCAGAGCTGTACCAGATTTTTCACTCTACAGGTTTAGTAAATCAACTCCAGAGTCTCTGCAGGCAGTGCCTCAGAAACTGCTAAGGCCTGAGGTAAATCAGATACCGATTCTGCAGGAAAGGCACAGGAACATATTTGTGGCACCAGCGGTGACTTGGCAAATAACTGGACTATTTGGGACAAGGCATTGCACAACTAAAGACTCTAGTGCAGGGGCGAACTGACCATTTGGAAACTCGGGCACTGCCCGAGGGCCCGGGGTCAGTAAGGGGCCCCATGAGATGCCCCTGGTACCTTTCATAGGCTTTTTGGGTGTGGTTTGAGTGTGGGCGAGGACACAGGGGCCCCATGATCCCCTATTGCCCAGGGGCCCCATGAGTTGTCAGTCCACCCCTGCTCTAGTGACAGAAAAACTCTAGGAGCAGGGGGCAACAAGATTATAGGATGCACACATCAGCATTATAAGTAGGGGTACTTCAAGCAGCCCCAGTATCATTAGTAGAGCATGAACTGGGGGACACATAACAGCAGGACATTCCCTCTGTATCTAAAATCAGACATGTTGAGAATTTGTTATTTTGAATAACATAATTAACATTTTCCTCCTGCAGTCACTGAATGCCAGCAGGAGGGAGAAGCTGGGTTTTAACAGTTACAAGAGGAAAATGAAGAAGATCAGCTACTGTATATGCTACCCCCTCCACCCCTTTTGTCCAAATATAAAACAAGCCCACTGAAGCATGGGGGAGAAGGGCGGGGGTCGCCACTGCAAACCCTGACAGTACACCTGTAATTGGGGTGTGTGGTAAAACCTTGTCTCAAATATGGGGTTTTACCACCCAACAAACCGCAAATGTAAATGAGCCCTTACTGTCCTGAGACCCCTATTCTTGCTTTCACTTTGATGCGCTGTGGTTTACCCACTCTGCCAGTGTAGCACAGTGCACCTACTGTTTAGCTGCACTTTTCTATAGACTTCTATTATATCTTCTGGGTGTGGTGCAATTTCTGAAAATGCACCAAATTCCCAGGATATAATAGATGTCTATTGCAGAGTGCAGCTATAGAAAAAAACAGCAGTGAGCGCTAATCCTGAAAGCGGCTGAGCACTCTAAGCAACCAATATAAACTTAAATGAAATAACATAAAAATAGTGCAGCGCTAAAAGTAGTGACAATAAGACAAATAAAAGTCCACTAAAAGTCTTGGTCATATGGACGTGTCCAGTGACAAATGAGGATTCAGAATTGGTGATCCGTGTGGAAACGGCTGAAAAACGCACTCACCAGAAGTAAGACACATAAACGCAGTGTGCATCTAGAGCTCATGGATCCTCAATCCAGAGGGGAGTAAAGCTGGTCCGGTTACAGGAATGGTGAATCCCTGTGGATGCAGCAACAGATCCTCCTTCTCTCGATTAGGTGTAGAATTCCAAGATCAAGATTCTGCAAGCAAAAGCTCCTTAAGAGCAGCTCATTGGCTCCCCAACTATCTTAATTTGCATTAAGCAGATCTAGTGTTCTGATTTGCCGATGCTCTGTCTTACGCAACTCTACTCACACTTTTGCTAACCCGCAGGAGCATCAGTGAGAAAGCACTGTGGATCAGTGTCAAAGCAGCCTAATGGTTGTTAATCCTTTTATAGGTGCTAATATGCCCGCTGCAAACGTGCAAAGTATCTGTTGTTTAACACACTGACATTCTTTTCCTCTTCTAGCTTCTGCTGGCATCGCTTTCTGTCTACAGGCTACTAGAAAGGTCCCAGGCAAAGCGCACTTGGTATCACTCCACCTAGGACAGGAGCCAGTGGTACAGCAGAAGCATCGGCTTATGCTCTCTCTGCAGATGTCAGCTCTATGCACTCTTGACACTCTGGGATGGAGGGGCGGCAAGCCCATATCGCAGTCAATGGGTTGCCAACCCCAGGTATGCGCTTCCCTGGTTTATGGTCAAAGCCCGCATTTGGTCCGAGGGTTGAGCACCACTGCAGTAAGGTAACGCTGGCGACTCTGGACTAGGAAAGCAAACCATACCTAACTTTTTCGGCCGATTTTCGGATCGTTAGTGGGCTATTTGTTCGGCCGTTTTTCGGTATTTTGGCCGTTTTTTTTTTTTCTGTAAAGTTGGAAAAAAAACGGCTGATTTTGCCGATCGGCCGATTTTCGCGGCAATTAGTGGGCAAATCGGCCGATTTTTTGCCGATAAAAAATCTGCGCATGAGCAGTGACCTGCAAGAGGAAGACAAAAAGAAGAAAAAGAAGAAGATGAAGAGGATGAAGAAGATGATGAAGAAGAAGAGGAAGAGGATGAAGAAGAGGATGAAGAAGAAGAGGAAGAAGAAGAGGATGAAGAAGAAGAAGAAGAGGAAGAGGAAGAAGAAGAAGAAGAAGAAGAGGAAGAGGAAGAAGAAGAAGAGGATGAAGAAGAAGAAGAGGATGAGGATGAAGAAGAAGAGGATGATGAAGAAGAAGAGGATGAGGATGAAGAAGAAGAGGATGAGGATGAAGAAGAAGAGGATGAGGATGAAGAAGAGGATGAGGATGATGAAGAAGAGGATGAAGATGAAGAGGATGAAGAAGAAGAGGATGAGGATGAAGAAGAAGAGGATAAGGATGAAGAAGAAGAGGATGAGGATGAAGAAGAAGAGGATGAGGGTGAAGAAGAAGAGGATGAGGATGAAGAAGTAGGATGAAAATAAGAAGAATTCCAGTCCAGCAAAAAGTGTCTCTGCAGAGAGCTCCGCTATTTCTGACAGTTTTTTGACAGTTCCTTTACATTTACAGCGGTTGCAACAATGTATCTATTTGTTTCCGAATAAAAACATCTGTATCCTAAATGGAAACAAATAGATACAATGTTTCAACCGCTGTAAATGTGAAGGAACTGTCAAGAGAACTGTCAGAAATAGCGGAGCTCTCTGCAGGGACACTTTTTGCCGGCTGTAGAAGGGATGAAAATCGGCCGATTTTTTTTACCATTGATGGTAACGTCGGCCGCTTGAACGACCGAATTTTCGTTTTTTAAAAGAAAAATCTGCCGTTTTTCTCCCCATCTATGGCCTGCATAACTCCATACATAAACTCACTATAAAAACAACATCATTTTCCTTTGTTATGTTTACATACAGGTGCTAGGATACATACAGAGTGCAGACTCATTCTCTTACCTTTTCTCCTATGTGAGTCAATGTTCCCTGCTTCCTGATAGTGGCCACAGCCTTGTCCCTTTCCCAAGTCACAGTGGAATTTACAAGCTGCAGCTCATTCAGTATTCTATCCTTTTCCTTTAGTTCAACTTCCAGCTACAACATAAATATTTCAATTAAAAAAAATAAAGTATACTTTGTCTTATTTCTTTCTTTCATATTTTGTCTTATTCCCTGTCATGCCAAGTAATTCAGGGTAAATATTTCAGGGTTAAAGAATGATTCCACCTCAAACATTCACCCTTGAATTTTTAGAACTTTTTATATATTCCCCCCTTTTCATACTTCTGCATTTTACTGTTTTCTGCTAAAAAGTTACTGGTTCCCATGGATGATTAGCACATTAGAGCCCGTATGTGTATGTGAATGCTAGAGATCAACACACTGGTGTGAACTGGCCCTAAGAGAGTGAAGTACTGCTTTAAAATATGTAATTCCTTTATTTCTGACCATATTAACAAAAATAACATATTTACAAAGCCTCTTCTTATTTCTTTCAAGGTTTGGGAAAATCTTTAACCTCCTCGGCGGTATGATTCTTTCTGATTTTTTGTGCTGAAAGCGGTACCATTTTTTTGCATGGAAATATGTAGTTTTTTATTGTAGGCTGTAATTTTTAGGAATAACTCACTGAAATCTGTCCGAACAAGAGTCTATTAAACATTCCGGATATGATAAAATTTGAAACACGAAATCATAAATTATAATTTAATAAATAATCATAAAAAATAATAATAATAAATTTAATTCAATAATATAATCAAACCAAAAACACTGAAATTTGAAATACAGAGGCAAATTTGCACATCGCTGAGCAAAGTCGCAAAATCGTTTTCAGTGTCTGATGACGAATTTCCCCCAAAAATCATTATCACTCAATTCTGCAAGTGGTTCTGATTTACTATCGCTGTTCTAAAACCACTTTTGACGTAAAGGGACGCTTTTTGGACGCCATGGACTTTTCTAAGTTTCCAGGCGGAAAGAACATTTAAAATGCAGGCAGGGCGCCGGACAAAGCACTCGGGACAAAATATATGTGAAATGCATTGAAACAGCAATGACAGCAAAAATGACATTTTTTAAAAATCTCAAATTTCCCGCCGGTTCCGGTGCCCGTACGTCTCGACGTCACAGGGACCGGAACACAGAAGCCGGATGCCGGCATCAGCCGGAGGAGATGGCCGGGGACTCTGCAGGGGACACATCGCGGGAGCGAAGGACAAGGTAAGTGCTGCAGGGACCCCCAGAGCAACGCCGCATGGTAAGCCTGAGTGTAGCTCGGGGTTACCGCTTTTGGTATAGAAATTTTACAACGAACTACACTCGGGAATACCGCTAAGGAGGTTAAGTCACAGTTTTTATTGATCCTAGTCTATCCCCCTCACTGTCTGTCCAATGACAGCTGACAATGTAAGGATTGGGATTTTGCCCTCGCTCTCTGTTTTGGTGATAACTGTCATTGGAATAGAAAATAGGAGCAAACATTTGCAATGGGGACCAGTGAGCAATATAAATGTGATAGAGGTTCTACCCTTCCCTACTCTACTTTAAAAAAAAAATTGGACTAGAGGTCCACTTTAAGCCCAAATTCCTGCAGGGACAACATTAATTGAAGTAACTCAAAAGCAATCAATTAATCAAGTTTACCTTTTTATTTTCTAACATCACAGAAATGAAAAACAAAAATGGATGCTGCATTAAGCAGTCTGCTCCTTGCACTGTTTATTGAATAAGCCTGAACATCTAAGCTTCCAGTTGTACCTGATCCTTGGCTATGCTGAGACCTTCAATCAACTCCTCCAATCTCTGATACTGGGTTTTCTCTATTTCTTCACAGCGCTTCTGCCAGTCCAACTCCACCTGCACCCTGGCCTGTTCTAACAGACGCTCCCGCTCCACCGAACCCGCTAACTGCTGCTGGTACCTGGTTTTAAAAGAGTCAGATCTTGACAATAAAGGAACAGCACAGAAAGATATTTAAAAGAATATAAACACAGAACTCTTCCTTTTAAGAAAATGAGGATTTAATAAATAAAATTGTAAATACAGTTAATGCCTTTTCGATTTTTTGTAAATATTACCTGCATAATCATAAAGCATATTTCAAAGTTTTTTTGTAAAAAGTGAAAAAAAATGAAAATATTGTAGCTGCTGACGTTGAAAAATCAAGTATTTACCAGTGCCTGGAGTCCAGCACTGTCTTCCCACAGTCGGTTCTTCTTACTGCTGCGAGTTCCATCTTGGATTTGGGAGCCGCCTGTGACGTCCTGAGGAATCACAGCTGGCTGCCCACTGCGAGATAGATCCAGTCGCACAGCGCTGCCCAAAGTACAAGTCAATGTTGCCTGGGCAAAATTTGAGGAAGTGATAGCGGGTATCTGTTAAAAAAGTTACCTGCTCCCCATAAAAATAAAAAAACAAAACAAAAGAAAGTGTTAGGGGCAAAGCTATCTACCTCTAACCCCTGAATGAGTGCCTGAATGAGGGCCGGAATGGGAAATGACATCACTCCGGTCCTCCAAGGGCCATAGAGATATGTGGCGGCCATCATTCCTTCACTCATCTCTATGTCCAGCGTCGGGATTGAGGGTTTCTCAGGTAAGGCTGAACTACCGAGCAGTGGCCGGGGCACGGGGCGGGGTTTTTCGGCACCTGTATCGGTGCTTTTTTTTTTTTTCATTTCGGCCGACGGCCGACAGGGGTGTTTTCGGCCGAAATGTTTAGGCCACAGAAATTTTAGTGCATCCCTTGTAATGATGACAACAACAGCTGAGTTGATGTCTGACAATCTGCACTTACCTCTCCATATCCTTCTGGTATTTGGCTATCTGAACTTTCAGCTTTTCCTCCTTCTCCTGCAGGGACTGAATCTGAAGATCTTTGTTTACAGTTTTTTGAGACAATTGAGTGATGTGTGAATCCCAACCAGTCTTCAATGTGTCCACATCATCCTTGAGCCTTTAATGGTGAAAACAATTTGTTTTACATTTTTCTTTTCATTTGACACAAACTTATAAAGCTGTAATATTTTGGTTGACCTGCTGATGGCAGTGCTACTCAGTATTTATTGTATTTAGATGTACAACTAGCAGTGGCCTCGGCTGGGCAGGTTTGTCCTGAGGCTTCATTATACTTTCACCAACAACTTGTGCACAGATTTATTACACTTTTCAGCCCATGCAGGTGGCACGAAAAAAAAAAAGCAACAAATACAGACCAGGGGCGGACTGACAACTCATGGGGTCCCCGGGCAATAGGGAATCATGGGGCCCCTGTGTCCTTGCCCATACTCAAAAAAGCCTATGAAAAAGGTACCAGGGGCATCTCATGGGGCCCCCTACTGACCCCGGACCCTCGGGCAGTGCCCGAGTTTCCAAATGGTCAGTCCGCCCCTGATACAGATTTTACCACGCATCCCATAATATAAACAGTCTGCTCTATAAGCTGGAGCTGACAAATGTTCATTGCGGGATTAGTACCATGGGGAAGAGAAAGGGGACTAGCACAGCTCTTCGGGGGCCATTCACAAATCGCAGCCGTTCTCGTGCATGCGCCGTGGGCACCCGGCTGTGAAGCCGCAAGCTGTCACAGCCGGGTGCCCACACTGAAGATGCCAGTGCCAGGGAAAGAAGACAGCCGGTGAAAGCAGGACATCGCTGGACCGAGGAACAGGAGCGGATTCTTCTGCACAGTACAGCCGAGTGGCCGGCCCAGTATTCTAACCCCGCGGCAGCGGGGATAACGGAACGGCCACTCCATATTCGCTCCATAAGACGCACAGACATTTCCCCCCATTTTCTTGGGGGAAAAAAGTGCGTCTTATGGAGCAAAAGATACGGTATATTAAAAATACCAAAAATTATAATTTCATCAACATATCTACCATCTCTTTACAAAACCTATAATAAAGACACCTCTGTCTCTCTGAAATAAAAAAATAATAACATACACTGCTCAAAAAAATGAAAGGAACACTTTTTAATCAGAGTATAGCATCAAGTCAATGACACTCCTGGGATATTGATCTGGTCAGTTAAGTAGCAGAGGGGGTTGTTAATCAGTTTCAGCTGCTTTGGTGTTAATGCAATTAACAACAGGTGCACTAGATGGGCAACAATGAGATGACTCCCAAAACAGGAATGGTTGTACAGGTGGAGGCCAGTGACATTTTTTTCCGTACTCCTCTTTTCTGATTGTTTTTCACTAGTTTTGCATTTGGTTAGGATCAGTGTCACTACTGGTAGCATGAGGCGATACCTGGACCATACAGAAGTTGCACAGGCAGTCCAACTCCTCCAGGGTGGCACATCAATACATGCCATTGCCTGAAGGTTTGCTGCGCCTCCCAGCACAGTCTCAAGAGAATGGAGGAGATTCCAGGAGATAGGCAGTTACTGTAAGAGAGCTGGACCGGGCTGTAGAAGGTCCTTAACCCATCAGCAGGACTGGTATCTGCTCCTTTGTGCAACGAGGAACAGGATGAGCACTGCCAGAGCCCTACAAAAGGACCTCCTGTAGGCCACTGGTGTGAATGTCTCTGACCAAACAATCAGAAATAGGCTACATGACGGTGGCCTGAGGGCCCAACATCCTCTAGTGGGCCCTGTGCTCACTGTCCGGCACCATAGAGCTCAACTGGCATTTTCCATTGAACACCAGAATTGACAGGTCCACCACTGGCGCCCTGTGCTTTTCACAGATGAGTGCAGGTTCACCCTGAGCACGTGACAGACGTGAAAGGATCTGGAGAAGCCATGGAGAACGTTATGCTGCCTGTAACATGGTTCAGCATGACAGTTTTGGTGGTGGGTTAGTGATGGTCTGGGGAGGCACATCCATGGAGGGACGCACAGACCTCTACAGACTAGACAATGGCACCCTGACTGCCATTAGGTATCGGGATGAAATCCTTGGACCCATTGTCAGACCCTACGCTGGTGCAGTGGGTCCTGGGTTCCTCCTGGTGCACGACAATGCCCAGCCTCATGTGGTGAGAGTATGCAGGCAGTTCCTGGAGGATGAAGGAATTGATACCATTGAATGGCCCCCGCGCTCGCCTGACCTAAATCCAATAGAACACCTCTGGGATATCATGTTTCAGTCCATCCAATGTCGCCAGGTTGCACCTCCGACTGTCCAGGAGCTCAGTGATGCCCTGGTCCAGATCTGGGAGGAAATCCCCAAGGACACCATCCGTGGTCTCATTAGGAGTATGCCCCGATGTTGTCAGCCTTGCATACAAGCACGTGGGGGCCATACAAACTACTGAGGACCATTTTGAGTTGCTGAATTGAAATTTCAGCAAAATGGACTAGCCTGCTCCATAATTTTTTCACTTTGATTTTCGGGGTGTCTTTGAATTCAGTCCTCTGTAGGTTGATCATTTTTGTTTCCATCAAACGATGGGGCATCCTTACATTCCTAACACATTACCCAGTCCATATCAGTATAGATATCCAGCAGGAGATTTTTTCTCATTGAGATCTGATGTGTTCTTTTATTTTTTTTTGAGCAGTGTTTGTGTGTGTTTACACACACACACATATATAATTTTGTGTGTGTGTGTGTGTATATACATATACACACACACATATGTATTCACACACTATTATAGCTTCCCTGAGTTTTGCTGGCATTTACATTTGTGTAGAGAATGTCAGAATCAGCCTCCGTGTACATTTATAATTTTATTTGGCACTTCAAAACAGAGATCCAGCCAAGTGTCATCCCTCTGATGATGCCGCACCTCTGCTCACATTACCAGTGACGTCTTGAGAATGCTCCAGCTCACAGATATTCAGGAATACAGCATACAGACATCAGAGAACATTCACTGACATTTACAGAGGGACCTTGTTGGTGCTGTATATTCAAATTATGCTGCACAGTCAAATACTTGCAAAAGCAGAATGTACATCTATCACCGTCCACCCAAAGGGGCTGATTTACTAACACTGGAGAGTGTAAAATCTGGTGCAGCTGTGCATGGTAGCCAATCAGCTTCCAACTTTGGTTTGTTCAATTAAGCTTTCACAAAAAAAACAAAAAAAAAAAACCTGGAAGCTGATTGGTTTCTATTTGGAGCTGCACCGGATTTTACACTGTACAGTTTTAGTAAATCAACCCAAAGTGTTATTACAGTGCCTTGAAAAAGTATTCATACCCCTTGAAATTTTCCACATTTTGTCATGTTACAAGCAAAAATGTAAATGTATTTTATTGGGATTTTATGTGATAGACCAACACAAAGTGGCACATTTTTTTTTTTACAAATAAATCTGTGAAAAGTGTGGCGTGAATTTGTATTCAGCCCCCCGGAGTCAATAATTTGTAGGACCCCCTCTCCCTGCAATTAAAGCTGCAAGTCTTTTTGGGGATGTCTCTCCCAGCTTTGCACATCTAGAGAGGGACATTTTTGCCCATTCTTCTTTGCAGAATCGCTTAAGCTCTGTCAGATTGGATGGAGAGCGTCAGTGAACAGCAATTTTCAAGTCTTTCCACAGATACTCAATAGAATTTAGGTCTGGACTTTGACTGGGTCATTCTAACACATGAATATGCTTTGATCTAAACCATTCCATTGTAGCTCTGGCTGGATGTTTCGGGTCGTTGTCCTGCTGGAAAGTGAACCTCTGCCATAGTCTCAAGTCTTTTGCAGACTCTAACAGGTTTTCTTCTAAGATTGCCCTGTATTTGGCTCCATCCGTCTTCCCATCAACTGTGACCAGCTTCCCTGTCCCTGCTGAAGAAAAGCATCTACACAACATGATGCTGCCACCGCCATGTTTCACGGTTGGAATGGTGTGTTTAGGGTGATGTGCAGTGTTAGTTTTCCGCCACACATAGCGTTTTGCTTTAAGGCTAAAAAGTTCCATTCTGGTCTCCTCTGACTAGAGCCCCTTCTTTCACGTTTGCTGTGTCCCCCACATGGCTTCTCGCAAACTGCAAATTGGACTTCTTATGGCTCTCTTTCAACAATGGCTTTCTTCTTGCCACTCTTCTATAAAGGCCAGATTTGTGGAGTGCACGACTAATAGTTCTCCTGTGGACAGATTCTCCCACCTGAGCTGTGGATCTCTGCAGCTCCTCCAGAGTTCCCATGGGCCTCTTGGCTGCTTCTCGAATTAATGCTCTCCTTGTCCGGCCTGTCAGTTTAGGTGGATGGCCATGTCTTGATAGGTTTGCAGTTGTTCTGTACTCTTTCCATTTTCAGATGATGGATTGAACAGTGCTCCATGAGATGTTCAAAGCTTGGGATATATTTTTTTAAACCTAACCCTGCTTTAAACTACCTCACCACATTATCTCTGACCTCTCTGGTGTGTTCCTTGGCCTTCACAATGTGAAAAAGAAAAAACATATCCACAAGGCTCCAAACACAGATGGAGGCAGCAAGTGAGCAGAAATGGGGAGCAGTTTTGCTTGTGCACAAAAAAAAAAATAATAATAATAACAAACAAAATGTTTGCTATCTGTAAGAGAAGTCCCTGAATACTTACCTCTTCAGTGGGCAGCAAAGATGAACTCCACTGCTGGCAAACAGTACAGTGGGGCAAAGTTTAAACATTCAGTGTTTTGGGAGTGTTGAATGCCCGAGACCCCCACTGTGTTCTGTGACAGAGTCACTTTACAGACCAGATAAAAGGGTTGGTCAGTAATTTTTTTTTAGGGAATTGCTTGCATTCAGTTAGGGAAGACCCAATCTGTAGACTTTTATACAGTATACTAAAAAATGTAAAAAGACAATAGCTTCCCTCTAAGTACGTGTGTCTGTGTAACTTTGTGGCTGCTGCATTTTTACTCAGGGTGCAGGGTCTGACAGATGTCACCGCCCTTTAAACTCACCAAATGTTTTCAATGGGGCAGTGCTGCAACCATGTGCAATGCATGTGACTGTGGTGTGACAGTGCAGCATTACAGGATTAAATCAGGAGGTGAGGAGGTGATATAAAGCCTCCTTACTGCCTGACAATTGCTGATCCAAACATGGATCGTTCTTCAGAGGGCACTCCACCGTGAGTGTGAAAGAGCCCAAAGAGTTTAGAGAAAAAAAATTGTGTAAATCACAACTCTTTGCTTCCCCTCTCAATTAAGCTGCGAGTGTAGACTCTCTCTTTGCAAGTCAGAATTGAAGCTCAGCTGATAATCAGGCATTGACTCACTTCATGATGGTGCTTTCCTTCTCTTCCAGTACAGCCTGATGATTGTATGTCGCCCTCTGCTGCTCCATCTGCAGAGTCTCCACACACCTCTGTAGCTCCTTCTTCTGATAATCCAGCTGCTGGATCTGTTCGTTGTGAGCTTCCTTCATCGAAGCCAGAGCTGACTCTTTCTCCCGTGCACCGTGGTCTAGTTGCTCATGTCTATAAATGGCCAATGAAAGACTCTAAAATTAATATTACAAATTGATGCAAATGATCTGATAATCATTGCCCTGACTAAGACCTGACCTCACAAGCCTCCCAGCTCTTTAGCACATATAGTTACATATCGTATTTTTCGCTCCATAAGATGCACTTTTTTCCCCCCAAAAAAGGGGGGAAAATGTCAGTGCCAGAATACCGGGCCGGCCGCTCAGCTCTGCAGTCGGACCTTACCTGTTCCTCTATCCAGCGGCACGCTGTCTTCCCAGCTTCTGTAGTGTGTGTGACAGCCAGGTCCCAAGTGCGCATGCGCAAGAAGCGGTGCTCTTTGTGAATGGTAAGGCGGTACCTGGGACACATAACAGATCCCAGAAGCCGCCGGACCAATCACAAAGTGCAGCGCTTCTCGCTCATGCGCACTGGGCATTTGGCTGTCCGCTGAGCGCCCACACTACGGAAGCCAGGTAGACAGCGCGCGGCTGGATAGATAGAGGAACAACTAAGATCAAAGAACAACTCCGCGGAAGTAAGAGCGGGTACCTGTCAAATTCAGGTACCCGCTCCCCCTCCCTCCCCAAAGGTCAGCAGTCATCTCCTGTACTGTCTGCAGTCTCTGGTCATCCCTGTGCTGTCCGTAGTCTCTGGTCATCTCCTGTACTGTGTCCGCAGTCTCTGGTCATCTCCTGTACTATGTCCGCAGTCTCTGGTCATCCCTGTACTGTCCGCAGTCTCTGGTCATCCCTGTACTGTCCGCAGTCTCTGGTCATCCCTGTACTGTCCGCAGTCTCTGGTCATCCCTGTGCTGTTTCCGCAGTCTCTGGTCATCTCCTGTACTGTGTCCGCAGTCTCTGGTCATCCCTGTACTGTTTCCGCAGTCTCTGGTCATCTCCTGTACTGTGTCCGCAGTCTCTGGTCATCCCTGTACTGTTTCCGCAGTCTCTGGTCATCTCCTGTACTGTGTCCGCAGTCTCTGGTCATCTCCTGTACTATTTCTGCAGTCTCTGGTCATCTCCTGTACTATGTCTGCAGTCTCTGGTCATCTCCTGTACTATGTCCGCAGTCTCTGGTCATCTCCTGTACTGTGTCCGCAATCTCTGGTCATCCCCTGTACAGTGTCCGCAGTCTCTGGTCATCTCCTGTACTGTGTCCGCAGTCTCTGGTCATCTCCTGTACTATGTCCGCAGTCTCTGGTCATCTCCTATACTGTGTCCGCAGTCTCTGGTCATCTCCTGTACTGTGTCCGCAGTCTTTGGTCATCTCCTGTACTGTCCGCAGTCTCTGGTCATCCCTGTACTGTGTCAGCAGTCTCTGGTCATCCCTGTACTGTGTCTGAAGACTCTGGTCATCTCCTGTACTATGTCTGCAGTCCATTAGTTCACAATTTATTTTTTTTCCTGTTTTCTGCCTCTAAAACCTAGGTGCGTCTTATGGTCAGGCGCGACTTATGGAGCGAAAAATACGGTAGTTTGGCTGAAAAAAAGACAAAAGTCTATCCAGTTCAACCATAGAAGACAATACCTTATAAAGCAGAAAACCAAAGTTGTTTACATTCTTCCCAAAGTGAACCTGTCAGAAAGGTGGGCAATTGAGCTTATAATACAATTGCATCAGCAGTTCATTTTCAGTGAAACCACATGTCAGAACAATCAGTAGGATCCTGAGATATAGGCAGCTGAAGTTATAAGCTAAGCTGGACTTTCTACTAAAAGTTGAGTATGATCTTTCCCTCTTCTACCCCCAAACCACTCTATGATTCCTTGTTGTGATAGGTGTCTCTATCGAACAATATGAAGGGAGCAAAGCAAACCTTATCTTTTTAAATGAAAAGTCCATATTTGCCTATAGCTCTGAATCCAATGATCATATTGACATGCGTTTACACCCTATTTCAGTTGTAAAGGTTTCTGGCAGGTCTATTTTGACAAAGGATTCAATTACGTAATACTGTTATGTACACAAAAAAGAAAATGAAGGCAACCACTACATCTAAGGGCTAGTAAGCTGTAGTATATTACAATTTTTATATTTAAACACCTTCCCTGCTCATCCTCTCCAAAACATAAGGGGAAGGTGTTCTGTAGTCCACAGAGAGAACTGGGAACAAAGTAACTGATAAGAGTGCAGCACATGAATTTATCAGCTCACAAGATTTCTGGTAGGATAAACTGGCATGTTTTGCACATATCAAACAGATGTAACAAAACGCTTTCTATAGTATATTCAACCACTTGAGCTCCAGGCCCTTTTTAACACATTTTGTTTACATGTAACAATTTGTATTTTGTGTTAGAAAATTAGTTAGAACCCCCAAACATGATATATTTTTTAAAGCAGAGAATAAATTGGTGGCTTTTCAATTTTTTATGTTCCACGGTATTTGTGCAGTGGTTTGCAAACGCAATTTTTTGGGCAAAATGTTAAAACAAAAAAAAAACAAACAATACATAACCAATTTTTTGGGTAAAATGTAAAATTCTTTACAGATTACCACTTTAGATTTACAGGAGGTGTAGTGCTAGAATTACTGCCTATGATCTGATGTTTGTGGCAACACCTCAATGTGGGACGATCACTGTCTGAGCGCATATGGGACCGATACATGCGTTTGCACAAGCGGGGGGGGGGGGGGGAGGGGGCGTTTGAGAGCAGGGGCTACACTAATTTTTTTTTTCACACTGTTACTTTAAAAATTTCTTTTTGATCACTTCTATTGCTGTCACAAGGAATGTAAACATCCCTTGTGACAGCAATAAGCACCTGAGAGGTACTTCTTATGGAGGGATCTGGCGTGCACAAGACCCCAAATCCCTTCTCTGCCCTCAGAAGCATTCAAAACACCAACACTGGCATTTTAAAATGCTTTTGATTTTTTAAAAATGGCGCCATTGACATCCAGGTTAACCGGAAGTGATGTACGGTCATTGCTCCCAGGTTACCATACCGGAGACGATCCCAGCTTTGTTCGGATGCCCGCCCAGAAAGCAGATATGCCGGCTGATTGCTCAGGTCTTACGGTGGGATAGGAGAGCCCAATGGAGCGTCGAAAGATGGGATTGTCCCCTCCCGCTGCTTGTACAATCAATCAAGCGGCTTACTTAGATACCGCTACTCCTGTGATCTTCACTTGCCTTCAGGTCCTGGCCACCCTAATGCATTGTGAACACAGGAGACTGGCCACTCAGCAAAATGCTTTGTATGTTCTGAATGAATGCAAAGCATTCTTTGAATGGATGAGCTGCAGAGAGTGACCTCACCGCCCCACCTCATCCAAACAGAGAATGCTTTGCATTCATTTAGTAAATGCAAAGCATTCTCCGAATGGCTCCCCTACTGAGCAGCTAACCTCCTGTGTTCTCAATACATCAAGCCAGCCGCTCATCACAGGACCAGGAAGAGGCGATCAGTGGAGTAGTGGTGTCTGCTTCAGTGATTTCCAGCTACCAGGGGCATCAGACAAGTATGGTATATATACATAGTTGCACTGGTACAAACTGGACCAATGAAACTATGTAAAAATATACAATGCTTGAAATTCATCTTTACTAAACTTAAAAGGACTAAATAAAAGAAGTTTACGGTTATGATTTGCATACACTTTAATGATGTGATCTGCATTCTCTGCCACAATGAAAAAAGAGATAGGGAGCCCAGCTGTCCAAATTGTCTGATACCAGCTATTACTACAGAACACGTACAGCAAAGCTGATTGGCTGTCTTCCAACATTCCCATGCCTGCCAATTCTTACCATAATTAATTATGATACCCTCCCCCACTATCTCAGGCACACAGTGTAATTAGTTATCCAGCCTACTTGGCCCACACTATTATCAATTAGTTGTAACATTAATGGCTTATTTACACTGGCTTTGCCCTCTGAAGATACATTAGAAGTGGATTGCTCTTCAATGGGTGTTTGGCAGTGTAAATGAGGCCTAATAAAAAGGGCCACACTTCATCATCATGAAACGGTGCATTTGGTGATCACCAGTGCAGGCTACAAGCCAAGAATCTAAAGAATCTGATTGGCTGTTGTGACAGTACAAAAGCTTAGTCCAACTTTGTGATCATGTTTCTTCTTCCTCCCACATTTACAATCTTACATAAAACATGCTCACATCCCTCCCCCATGCTTACCAGAATTTTGGGGTTCTTCTCCCTGAAGCTTTTGGTCTGCATTTGACTTTTGTGGGGCTGTGTGGCTCCACACACACAAATGCATCATCCATGCACAGGTCCAATCAAAGGGATCTGTGAATGCGAAGGCTACAAATCCCATCTGCCAACACAGCAATAGCCTTGTAGAGCACAAATGTGGTCACTGTACTTGTAGTCCACTTCCTCCAGTCCAGTAGTTTTAGGACCACTCCTCCAAACAGGGCTGGGTGAAAAGTCTGCAGGAGCCTGTATTTTACACACACAGGACGTACTGATTGCAGCTGCAATGCTATGCAGGCCTGTATGCAAAAAATTAATAAATGCATTTTTTTCTTTGATCAATGATTGTGTATTTATTAAGGCCAAAAAGTGAATCTTATTTCATTGATGCACTCATTTAAGTAGAATTCCAGGCAAACAATACATAAACACCCCTTTAAAAGGGAACCTGTGTTTTGCCCATGCAGGGCAAACCAACAGGTTCACTTGAAAATGTATGTATAGCAAGCATTTCTTTTTGTTTTGGATAGAATAGGGAAAAATTAAAGTGGTTATAAAGGTAAAATATTTTTTTACCTGATTGCATTCCCTGCATTATGGTAAAAAAGTTTTACCCCTTGCTGTACACCCCCAAGCACTTACATGAGTCCTGTATCGGTCCAGCGCTGTGCTGGCCTGCATCTCCTTTTCCTACAGCCACAAGACACAGAGGCAGCAGTGGGAGCCATCCTGCTGCTGTCAATCAACTCTTGCGAGGAGGGAGTAGGGGGTGGGGCTGAGCCGCACTATGTGTGTCTAAGGACGCACACAGCCTGGAATGCATGGTGTAGAGGAGGAGCAGACAGAGCTGGCAGGGGTCCCCAGAAGAGGAGTTAAGGATCTGCTCTGTTCGGTACCATTGCACAGAGCAGGCAAGTATAACATATATTTTATTTTAACTAAAAAAAAAAAAAAAAAAAAAAACAGCCTTTATAATCAATTTAAAGCCCTTGTCAATTTATCTCTTGCTGGCTGTGTCCTGTTGGAGAGATTGCTTGTCACAGAGACACAACATGTGAGATGAAATCTCTACAAAATGAAGGGAATTCCCGTGTTGGATAATTGTTGCCATAACATTTGAACATTTGTCCCCATTGGAAGATTTACCTTCACCTCTTTCTAGTGGCAAATCTATAATTTGTCTTTTTTTTCCCCATGCTCTGATTCACCGGCAAAAGTCAGTAAAGCAATGAGAGAAAGTGAATCAACCTGGGTGGATGTACAGACAGCAATACAAAAAAATAAAAATACCTTCTGCATTCCAGTGATGTATGACATGAACTTACTTCAGTTGAAAAGCTTTCTTCTCTCTCTCCAGCTGATGCTGTAGTTTCTGTATATTACCCTCCAACTCTTTTATTCTACAACACAAGATACGGTCCAAGTTATTTCTTATCACAATAGTCTAGGGTGGGAGTACAGTGCTTGCCTTGGGCAACATCTTTTTGTTTGCTTTTACTACTTACCTTGATAGGCCACAAAAATGCCAGCATATGAAAGTTCTATAGTCTCTGTTGCAAAAACTAGGAGGTATAGTAAGCCTCAACAGTGGCTTCTGATCAGGGTGGATAAAAATCAACGATTTAAAAAAAAAAAAAAAAATCGGATTTTTTTGATTTAAACCGGATTTTTTTTTATTTAAATCGGATTTTTAAAAAATAAAACGCTTTTTCAGGAAAATATATTACCATCCAAAGGTTATTCCATCATGAAATAAAGATTAGTTTGTTAATTATGTAGAATAAGGCTGTATATGTTTAGTTTTTTTGGTAAATAAATTCCAATTAAGATTATTGGGCAGTTTCTCTGCCTACAAGATATTATCACAGATGATTGGTTTACTTTTGCAGTTCTCAAAACTGAATTTGACTCAGCGGAGATCACATGCCTCTTCTTCACAGCAAAAATGTTATAACATGAACAGAGTTAAGAAAAAGACCTTCATCCTAACTTCTACAAACCTATGAATACAGAATCAACCCCTTCACTGCTAAGTTTCAAGAAGTTCAGTGAATAGAATAGAAACAATATTTTTCTGATTGTTTGGAGTGGAATAGATCTGCACAAGAAGAAAGTGAAACTAAGTGTGAGGAGGAGGGGCTGACAGTCTAAGTTTCTTCAAATATATATATTTTGTTTCGCCAAATTAGTTACCAAACATGGATGTTTAAGCAAATCACATATGCTGGAATGTTATTGTTTCAGATGAATAAATCTATTTAAATTGTTATTATTAAGGTAATGATTATTTTTCTCCTTCCTAAGTACAACAGAAAAGTTGTCCAAATATGAATGATTAACCTATTAAACTGGGGATAAAAAAACTAATATGAAAAGTTGTTATTCTAAAAATCTTCATCTACTTGCATATTAAAGTTATACCAGCAAGAATTAGTCTTTATGTAGAAAACTAGGATTTATATCAAGCCTTACTGACTAGTGATTTAAATCGTGATTTAAATCGTGATTTAAATCAGATCCACCCTGCTTCTGATGTCACCAAGGGTAGCATATAATATTTAGCATATGTAATGCTACAGAAGAATGTCAGAGAATGCAGACTTGTTAGAAGAGATGGTCAGACTGTGGACATGCTACAGATGTCGTAGACACACCATAGGATAGAGTCAGAGACTGGGGGGCACAAGACAACTAGAGATCAATGCCTTTGTACTGCATACCACATTTCTTGCAATGAACAATACTGGCATTGAAGTCCCAGCACAAGAAATTCTTGCTTTGCTACTTGTAATCTTAAACCCCTTTATTCTTATAACCCCATTCTGTGTCACTGCGTGGAGGGACTCCGGAGCTCATAACTTGCACTGTGCATGCTTGACATATAAACAAGCCTCTCGATTATTTAAGCTGCTCAAAGTAGAGCTCTAGTCTCCCCATAAAACATTAAAAGTCTGCAGCTACAAATCCTGTAGCTACTCACTTTTAAAGTGGAATTAAAATTTTTTTAAATTTGCTGACAGACAGGGAATTTATGACAGAAAAGATCCTATCGGTCTCCTCTACCATAAATGTATCCTCTTGCCTGTCATGTTCATTGAGTTAAGCATGCGCAGCTCAGCGAACATTTACGCCCCCAATCTGTGATGTGGCGATGTGACTTCCGTACACATGCGCAGGAGTGACATCATTGCGGCCCAACCTATCAAACGGCCGAAAGCAGGGAACCTGGAAGGAAGACCGGTGAAGATGGAAGCACCCGAGGCCCGCTGGATTGACCCACCGCAGCACTGAAGGGCACCATTTGACAGGCAAGTCTGCTATAATGTACTAATATGCCGTGTATACTAGCACATTGTGGCATAATCCACCTGGGGGCCCTAAAAAAAAATTAAAAATTATGTAGTGGAGTTTACTACCGCTTTAACATAAGGACACTTACCTGTCCAGGGATCCAGCGATGTCTTCACCTGAGCCGAATCTTCAATCGGCTTTAGGTGCAGGCACAGGCATCTTGCAGCCAGTTTAACGCTGCGTACTTTGTGCATGGTCCCAGTCTTCTGGGGGCCTGTGAAGTGTCCCAGAAGGCTGCAGGGGAAGGGGGGGGGTGAAACGTCCAGCGCATCTGACTGGAAGTGGGAACCTGTCAAAACCAGGTACGTGCACCCCCCAAAAGTGCCAAATGTGGCAGTGGAGGGGATGGGATACAAACAAGCAGAATTTCCCCTTGTAGTTGAAGTTCTGCTTTAAGAAGGTCCTTACCACAGTGTGGGTGGTACATTCCTCCCGCAATTTAAAAAAAAAATACTGATTTGTTATTTATCTGCTAATTAAATTGGAGTGTTTACTTGTTTACTGTAGAAGGAACATTACACTGTACAGTTCTCTGGGGCCAGGACAAGGCAGCATAATATGCTTGTGCTATGTAAATGCTGACAATAAATTATTAGGTTTGTCTTGTGACTACTCTATAGAAATCATTACATAGGCCTCACTTTCTGCAGTACGTACCTTGCCTCTTTAACCACCAAAACATCTTTCATTTCAAAGTCTTTATGTCTCAGGGCCTCATGCAGTCTCTCGATGGCCAATTGTGCTTGCTGGAGAGATTCTGTGCCTTTCAGTTCCTTTTCCCTCAAAATATTCAATTCCTTAGTCAGCAACTTCACCTTACAACACAAGCCAGGCAAAGAAGAGGCCACATGTCAGTCTAAATAAGCTACAAGTGCAAGAACAGCAACACAGAAAGGAAGGGGGTTGATTTACGAAAGGTAAACAGATTTTGCACTCTGCAATGCAGTTTCTCCTGAGCTCAGTAAATGAGCAGAAGCTTACTCTTTGCAAAGAATACCCAATCACATGCAAGGAAAAAAAAAACAGCATTTTTGCTGGCACATGATTGGATGATAGAAGTTGGCAAAGATATTTCTTATTTAATAGGCTCTGGAGCAAATGCACTTGCAAAGTGAACAGTCTATTTGCCTTTAGCAAATCAACCTTAAGGTGTTTATCGGGACAGGAAGTAAAGGTAAATTGCATTGGCCAGCAATAAAAACATGGAAGACAGAAACAGGCCAACATATGGAAAATCAAATTTCAGGTTTACTGGGGTCTCATACCACAAGAAACAACAAATATCCATCAACTTTTCAGGGGCATGTGGATTCTCTCTCTCAAGATGACAGACATGAAATTGTCAAGTGGTTCATGTCTTTCACTTTGAAAAAGGGATCCCCCTGCCAGTTAAACATTTGCTATGTAGATTTATGACCCCCGTCAATTCTGAAGTTTGATTTTCAATATGCTGGTCATTTTCTGTTTTTCGAGATGACCATTGTAGGCTGTGCACTCGCCAGATTGGTTCAAGAGGTGTGAGCAGTGGCTGATTTGTGTACACAAGCAACAAAAACATGTCAGATAACACATTATCCTTTTCTATTTGTCTAGAAGCTGTTTTTATTACTTTTTTTGTTCCTGTGATGGATTTGGTACAATGCCTATTCGGTTTCCTGTTTAAAATATACATTTTTATATATATATTTACTTTTATACTTTTTCATATTTCTAAATATATGTGTTGTGCGTATATATTTTCTCTCTGCTGGGTTTTGCAGTCCTCCTTAACTTGTTTGTTCAGAGCGATGTTCTCAACCCCTCCCTTCGCACTGAGAGGATCTTACTTAGGCTTTGAATATGTGAGGGGGAGTGAAAAGATAACGGGCGAGAAGCAGGCTTCAAGTTTCTGCACTTCTCCCATATTTCAGCCAAGCAAAATGTGCCTTTTAGAATGTGACTGTATTTACATAATAGTGACGTATACCCCATCGTTCTCCTTGTATAACAGGTTAAGCACCGCCCTGCAATAAACAGAGATGATGTGAAAGTGGTTGTACTGGACAGTTGTCCGTGTAATTATTCTCCAGCGTGCACGCAATCCATATCTCAAAATTAGGAACAGCAGCAGAAATCCTACCCTGAGCCCGATTGTGGTTCCCAAAACCTTTTTATTCCCTTGAAGAAATTTTACATACTTCCTATCCTGGAGAAGGAGGGCATGGAGCAAGGAGTAATCTCCCCAAACGGGACACAGGCAGCAATAAAAAGCAACAGATGATTTAACCCTCACACAAAGGGCTGCATACCTTGAGCTCATGAGACAAAACCACGGTGTTCATCTCATCAAGACCTACACGAAAGTCATGTTCCCGTTTCTTCAGTTCACAATCAAACTCCAAAGACAGCTCCTGCAAACAATTATTATAAAGTAACAACAAAACATTGCAATCATAAATGAACATAACTTGTATTCAGAAATGTATACAAGTCCAAAAGACAGAACACAACTTGATGAGATTTCACAAGCTCCACAAATAAATAGTTAAGACCAGAAAGAGTACAAATCATTCCATTAATAGCAAATTAACATTAAGTAATTATAAGTACCGTATTTGCCGGCGTATAAGACGACTTTTTGACCCTTGAAAATCTTCTCAAAAGTCGGGGGTCGTCTTATACGCCGGTACACGTTAGGGGGGCTGCGGCATTAAGTACAGGGGTTTGCAGGGGCTGATGTCTCTTACCTGGATCCAGTCCCACGACGATCCGGTCCAGGAAGCGCGGCGTCTCCTTCAGTTCGGCCACTGGATGTTCGTGCGGCTGCTCGGCTCCGCCTCCTCACCGGTGATTGGCCGCCAGAACTGTAGCTCAGGAAAGGCACACAGGCGGCCAATCACCGGCGAGGGGGCGGAGCCGAGCGGCCCAGCGAAAATTGAGTGCCGGAGCAGCAGGTAAGTGTTCTGTGTAGAGGTGCTGCTGCAACCACATATGCTGGCTGCAGCAGCACCATACGAGAACAGGGTCAGCAAGTCTCAGTGGGAGGAATAGTGCCCCATCATTGGTGTCACTGATACCAATGATGGGGCACTATTCCTCCCACTGACACCAACGATGGGGCACTATTCCTCCCACTGACACCAACGATGGGGCACTATTCCTCCCCCCCCACTGACACCAACGATGGGGCACTATTCCCCCCCCCACTGACACCAACGATGGGGCACTATTCCCCCCCCCACTGACACCAATGATGGGGCACTATTCCCCCCCCCACTGACACCAATGATGGGGCACTATTCCACCCCTCACTGACATCAATGATGGGGCACTATTCCTCCCACTGATACCAATGATGGGGCACCATTCCTGCCACTGATACCAATGATGGGGCACCTATTCCCCCCACTGATACCAATGATGGGGCACTATTCCTGCCACTGATACCAATGATGGGGCACTATTCCTCCCACTGACACCAATGATGGAGCACTATTCCTCCACTGATACTAATGATAGGGCGCTATTCCTGCCACTAATACCAATGATGGGGCACTATTCCTGCCACTAATACCAATGATGGGGCACTATTCCTCCCACTGACATCAATGATGGGGCACTATTCCTCCCACTGATACCAATGATGGGGCACTATTCCTCCCACTGATACCAATGATGGGGCACTATTCCTCCACTGATACCAATGATGGGGCACTATTCCTCCCACTGACATCAATGATGGGGCACTATTCCTCCCACTGGTGTGCATTGGAAGAGGGGTAGTCTTATACGGCGAGTATAGCCCAAACACTACATTTTAGCAGGAAAAGTAGGGGGGTCGTCTTATACGCCCAGTCGTCTTATACGCCGGCAAATACGGTATTTATTCCATCCAAAGACGCTTGTAGCCGCTGCGATCCTTAACAACTGAATGAGGAAATATAACCATTTATTCATCAACATTACCGAATAACCTGTCAGAATAAAACAATGTTTAATAAAACAAGATAAATATAAAGTGTGTACACACACATACTTTGGCAAATTTGGTTTGAATCTAGGAATGAGCAAAAAAAAAGTTAGGAGCCAGTTTTTTTTTAGTGTAGTGTGGGTTGTCAGCGCCCGGGGCTATGCATCTTTTGGGTGACAAGCTTCACGGGATGTGATTATCACAGCAAAACCACGCCATGTTTTAGGGGCCATTAAAAATAATGGCACCTGAACCTGCATTTTGCGATCACAGCGATTTTAAGGGCCAAGAGAAAGTCTTATCTTTTTAGACTATGTCTGAGATAGATACACTTCCTTCCCATACACAACATTCACTGACATCAGAAACCACTCTGTCGAATATATTATTATTATTATACAGGATTTATATAGCGCCAACAGTTTGCTCAGCGCTTTACAATATAAAGGGAGACAATACAGCAACAATACAGTTCAATACAAGAGGGATAGGAGGGCCTGATCCTTGGAACTTACAATCTAGGAGGGAGGGGCTAATGGTACAAAAGGTAGTAACTGTGGGAGATGGACTGGTAGGAAGTGTAGAAGATTCCATTATAAGCTAATGGCATGATAGGCTTGGGTTTTCAGAGATCGCCTAAAAGTGAGCAGAGTAGGCGATAGTCTGATAAATTGGGGTAGAGGGTTCCAGAGGATGGGGGAAGCTCTGGAGAAGTCCTGGAGACGAGCATGGGAGGAGGAGACAAGGGAGCTAGAGAGCAGGAGGTCGTGCGAGGAGCAGAGAGGACGGTTTGGGTGATATTTGGAGACAAGATCAGTGATGTAATTTGGGGCAGAGTTATAAATGGCTTTATATGTTATTGTTATTGTTTTGAATTGTATCTGCTGGGCAACTGGGAGGCAGTGGAGGAATTGACAGCGGGATAGAGGACACTGAGTGGAGGCCAGTGGAAGGATTGGCAGAGAGGGGTGGAGGACACTGAGTGGAGGCCAGTGGAAGGATTGGCAGAGAGGGGTGGCAGATACAGAACGGTTAGTAAGGTGGATGAGTCTGGCAGCAGCATTCATGATAGACTGAAGAGGGGATAGCCTGCGGTTAGGTAGGCCAATGAGGAGGGAGTTACAATAGTCAAGGCGAGCGATAACCAGGGAGTGAATAAGTTGCTTAGTGGTTTCCGAGGTTAGGAACGGGCATATCTTGGAGATGTTGCGGAGGTGAAGTCTACAAGATTTGGACAGTGATTGGATTTGGGGTGAAAGGACAGATGGGAGTCTAGGATTACACCTAGTACCCTGGCATTAGGGGAGGGACTGATGATTGTGTTATTGATCGTGATGGAGAAGTCAGGGGATATATCAACCTATATGGGCCCTACGGCCACACGGGCCCTTAATATTATGACGACACCCACATCTGCTTCACAAGTCACACTAACTGTATCCAATTAAAACACTAACACTAAACAATCCGTTTGTTCACAGGATACACTAGGTCACAGCACAAATGATTTTTTATTGCCCAACCAATACAATCAAGGGGACAAGCAAAGTACTCTCGACACTTACATGACACGTACGATCCCCCTCACAGATCAGACATCGTTCCACAATATGCCAATGACAACCAACTAAATGTAATTAATTTAACTACTAAACACCTTTCTAAACATGAAATAGCTGTCCTAAGTGTGGGGTTAAGTTTTTGTCCTACTGCTAGAATTGAGAAGTATGAAACTATTAAGGATTTATATTTGTTTACGAGGAAACTCGCATACAGATATATCTTCGATTCGGATCGCATTAGAAACAAACAGGAAAAGGATCTTATGGAACGCATGAAAAATTTTACTATGCAGGATTTTAGAATCCTTCAACACTTGATGCTATTGCTTGATGAAAGTGAACCAGATAACCCAACGTCTAGTATCACCTGTACTGACCATGTTCCTTTATCGAAACATTTTAAACCGAAGTCTGCTAAGTTCCCTGAACTTACAACTAATCCATGTATTTGGACATTTTTGATGGCTACTATCAATGATGTCAAACGTTTAACCCCTACAATTTTAGATAACAACATTACTCCTATACAGAAGGAAGCTTTGAATCATCTTAAAAATAGAACCAGTTTGGTTATTAACCATTTCAATACCGGGCACTTTTACCCCCTTCCTGCCCAGGCCATTTTTCAAGTTTCAGCGCTCTCACACTTTGAATGACAATTGCACGGTCATACAACATTGCACCCAAACTAAAATTTTACCATTTTCTTCACACAACTAGAGCTTTCTTTTGGTGGTATTTAATCACCGCTGGGATTTTTATTTTTTGCTAAATTAACAAAAAAAGACCAAAAATGTTGAAAAAAAAGGGTTTTCTTTGTTTATGTTATAAAAGTTTGCAAATAAATAATTGTTCTTCATAAATTTAGGCCGAGATGTATTCTGCTACATGTCTTTGGTGAAAATAACCCAAATTAGGATGTATTATTTAGTTTGTAGGAAAGTTATAGAGTTCACAAACTATGGTATAGATCTGAATATTGATCAATCCTGAAGTACTGACAGCCAATCTAATTTCTTGAGGTCCAAGAATGTCAGAACAGGACAGATATCCCCCAAATGACACCTTTTTGCAGAGTAGACAGTCCGATGTACTTCATAAGAGGCATGGCGAGTTTTTTAAAGTTGTATTTTTTTGGTCATAATTTTTCGGAAAATGAGAAAATTAAAAAAAATTAGTTTCACTTTTTTTTTTTACACATTGTCACCAGTGCAGTACAGCGTCATCATATAACTGGCATGGCAGTGATCAGGGAGACTGACTGGTGACAGTATGAAAAAAAAAAAAAATATATATATATTTTTTTTTTTATTACATTTTTTTTCATATTTCACTATGACCAAAGTAGTACAATGTTACCATAGTAACATTGTACTACTTTGGGGAAGTGATCAGTATTTTTTTTTTTTGTTACACAATTTGCTTATAGCAAAGAATTACTTTGCTATAAGCAATACATGACCATATTTATTATTCCCCGAATGCCAAGATGGTGACCCCTACTAGCCACCACCTTGGACTTTATCATAAATTTGATACTTCACAGGCAAAATTTATGGGCTTGATGGTAGTTACTAAGGATCCACGTGGTGGCAATTGGGATCAAAAATTACTACTAGTATGTGTATGTATGAATGTGAGTTAGGGACCTTAGATTGTACACCCCTTGAGGGTTAGGGACTGATGTGAATGTACAATATATGTATGTAAAGCGCTGCGTAAATTGACAGCGCTATATAACTACCTGAAATAAATAAATAAATCTGTCCCTCCTCACTGCGGAGAATGATAGCAACGGGAGCCATTGGTCATTACCAGCTTTATTGTGTGAAAAATAAAGATACAAATTTCAGATGGGTAGTGTTGCATGACTGAGCAATTGTCATTCAAAGTGTAACAGTGCTGACAGCTGGCCTGAGCAGGAAGGTGGGTGAAAGTGTCCAGTAATGAGGTGGTTAAAGATCTTCCCAATCGTTAATTAGCTCAGTATGAAAGTTGAGACTGTGTCATAGAAATTTGATGAGGTCTAATTACAGCACCATCACAATTCAACTAGTGCTTGCTGACCTTTACCAGCTCTGTGTTGAGATGACATTTGTACCCCGGAGAGAACTATGAATGCCATAACAACACATGGGTCACGGGGAAGGTCTGTCCTGTTCAAATATACCTCAATTAAATGTGACCTTCCAAGGTGACAGGGATCAGTGATCTTGGAACAGCCTTTTCCAGTCTGGATTCCTGTCTATTTACATTCACCACATACGCTGTCACCCAGCGCTCTATTTAGTACACTTGCCAGAATGGCTGCCCTGAGCACTAATCCAGACTAGGCGATTGATTAAACAGCCAAACAGCTAAGTGGGGGGGAGATGCTGGATGAAGCAAAAGAAGATCAATAAATCTCAACATGCAATTAATAGCACACCACACTGCTGCCTGCATCTGACCAGAAATGAGACATCGAACCCCTGGACTGCCACATCTCAGCATTCAGTAAGAATGTTTACCCTCCCATTGCTGGCAGACAATGTATAAATAATGTGCTAATAATTTATTTATTTCAGGTATTTATATAGCGCCGTCAATTTACGCAGCGCTTTACATATATATTGTACATTAACCTCCCTGGCGGTATGATTATTTCAGATTTTTTGTGCTGAAAGCGGTACATTTTTTTGCATGGAAATACGTAGTTTTTTATTGTAGGCTGTAATTTTTAGGAATAACTCACTGAAATCTGTCCGAACAAGAGTCTAGTAAACATCCCGGGTATGTTAAAATTTGAAACACGAAATCATAAATTATAATATAATAAATAATCATAAAAAATAATAATATAATAATAATACATTTAATTCAATAATATAATCAAACCGAAAACACTGAAATTTGAAATATAGCGCCAAGTTCGCACATCGCTGAGCAAAGTTGCAAAATCGTTTTCAGTGTCTGATGAGGAATTTCCCCACAAATCATTATCACTCAATTCTGCAAGTGGTTCTGATTTACTATCGCTGTTCTCTAGCCGGTCTAAAACCACTTTTGACCTAAAGGGACGCTTTTTGGACGCCATGGACGTTTCTCAGTTTCCAGGCAGAAAGAACAGACAAAACGCAGGCAGGGCGCCGGACAAAGCACTCGGGACAAAATGTATGTGAAATGGGTTGAAGCAGCAATGTTTTACTATGTAAAATTTGTTTGGAAAAAAATGAAATTTTTTAAAATTTTCAAATTTCCCGCCGCTGGCGGCGCCTGTACGTCCCAGGGACCGGAAATCAGAAGCCGGATGCCGGCATCGGCCATAGACGCTGCAGGGGACACATCGCGGGAGCGAAGGACAAGGTAAGCTCTTCAGGGAAACCCTATGCAGCACTGCATGGTAAGCCCGAGTGTAGCTCGGGGTTACCGCATTTGGTACAGACATTTTACCCCGAGCTACACTCGGGAATACCGCTAGGGAGGTTAACATCAGTCCCTAACCCTCAAGGAGCGTACAATCTAAGGTTCCTAACTTACACTCATATATAGGGCCAATTTAGAGAGGATCCAATTAACCTACCAGCATGTCTTTGGAGTGTGGGAGGAAAATCAGAGTACCTGGAGGAAACCCACGCAGGCACAGGGAGAACATGCAAACTCCAGGCAGGTGGTGCTGTGGCTGGGATTCAAACCAACAACCCTAGTTGTTGGCGGAAGCGCTAACCATTTAGCCACTGTGCTGCCCCATATAATAATGACATCAAAGCTAAACCCCGGGCTGAACACACAAAAATATCCCTGCAGTGGGGTGGGGGGGTTTCTGCACTGCAGCGGTTACATTTTCATTATGTCCAGGGTTCCCAGAATAAGGAGAAATGCTGCCTTCTTCCCCGCTCCAGGAGTCTCTAGCTATTTGCAAGATCAGTCCAGCGCTGCCTCCTCTCTAGGCCACTCACAGCCACGGTCGCACACTCAACCCATCCACATACAATGCAGGGTTAGTAGCCCTGCATTGTATATGATGATGCCAAGGGACCGCCCACAGCTTTGTGGAAATGACAACAGCTCTGGAGCCTGCTGGAATGGAGAATGGGGTAATACTGCCTGTTTCTCTACCCCCTAGAAATAAGGGGCATTTAACTCTTTCTGGGAGGGAGGGACCCCACTACAAAGGGTTCAGCATAAGTAGTTGTAAACCATTATATAGACCCAGTGAAGTGACTGACCTCAGGTGATACACAGAGTTGAATGAAATTCTCCTACACAAGTTGAACCTGTTAATCTGCAGTATTCTCTTCTCTAGTTTTCAGAAAGAGGGGACAGGGAGCTGAAGTTACACTCTGATTGAAGGGAAAGGACACACTCCTCTCCATACAACACACACCAACTGAGCTGAGGCTGTCAAGCACAGGTTGTGTGCTGGAGCTCCCTCCCCTATAACCTTTTTTCACGTAGTGTCAGGAAAGCTTATCAGAAGTAATTCATGCTGATAGCAGAGGAACTAGACAGCAGATAGAAATGACACTTAGTGCTTTGGATTGAGACAAGTACACACTATAGAGGGATATGGTTTATTCATATTATATGTCAGAGGTTTACAACAACTTTAAAGCCTAAGTAAAGGCAAAACTTTTTTGGGGGGAGGTTTGGAGAGGTTAGAACCACTGTCAGGTTTTTACTGCCGTCTGTACCCCGTCAGATATGTTCACTTTCCCTAATTCCCCTAACACCCATGTCACAGTGAATGAGAGTGCAAGTAATTCCAAATGTGGGGATGCTTCTTCCCGTGACAACCATCTAAGAGGGAATTTCACTCTCAGGGCCCATTCACACTAGAACTCCGTGTGGGAAACCCACGCTCCATGTTCGGTTCCAAATTGCACTGCCCTTGCGGTCTGCAATGGGTGTCAGTGCAAAGTTATTGACACCCCAATCACAGGTCACAAACACAGCGAATTTGCCTGCACTGGGTCACAAAAGTACCACGCAATCCGGTTGCAATATGTTTTTCAAAATGAATGGGCTAAAACCGCACTGCGCGTGAAATCGCACAGGAGCACATAGCACATTCCTGTGCAATTCACATGCAGTTCCTAGTGTGAGCAGGCTCTTATTGAAAAGATTTCCTCTGATGTCAGGTTAGGTCTTCTGGAAAGGAACTAAAGGGAAATTTCCCTAATTAGACACAGATAGCACAAGAACAGTTTTTAAAGCCCCCCCTACTCTATACGAAAACAGCAATGGAGACCTTTTAGCGCTGGGGATCTTGTAGACCTGGAGATCTTAAGGCAATGGGAATCTTGTGGCACTGGGAGTCTTCTGGCACTGGGAATCTTGTGGCACTGGGAATCTTGTGGCACTGGGAATCTCTTCTGGCACTGGGGATCTTGTGGCACTGGGGATCTTGTGGTAATAGGAATCTTGTGGCACTGGGGATCTTGTGGTAATGGGAATATTGTGGCACTGGGGATCTTGTGGTAATGGGAATATTGTGGCACTGGGGGTCTTGTAGACCTGGAGATCTTGTGGCACTGGGGGCCTTGTAGACCTGGAGATCTTGTGGCACTGGGGGTCTTGTGGTAATGGGAATCTTGTAGCATTGGGGGTCTTGTGGCACTGTGGATCTTGTGGCACTGCGGATCTTGTGGTACTGGGGGTCTTGTGGCACTGGGGATCTTGGGTAATGGGAATCTTGTGGTACTGGGGGTCTTGTGGCACTGGGGATTTTTTGGCACTGGGGGTCTTGTGGTAATGGGAATCTTGTGGCACTGGGGGTCTTGTGGCACTGCGGATCTTGTGGCACTGGGAGTCTTCTGGCACTGGGAATCTTTGTGGTACTGGGGGTCCTGTGGCACTGGGGATTTTGTGGCACTGGGGGTCTTGTGGTAATGGGAATCTTGTGGCACTGGGGGTCTTGTGGCACTGCGGATCTTGTGGTAATGGGAATCTTGTGGTATTGGGGGTCTTGTGGCACTGGGGATCTTGTGGTAATGGGAATCTGTGTGGTACTGGGGGTCTTGTGGCACTGGGGATTTTGTGGCACTGGTGGTCTTGTGGTAATGGGAATCTTGTGGCACTGGGGGTCTTGTGGCACTGGGGATTTTGTGGTAATGGGAATCTTGTGGTACTGGGGGTCTTGCGGCACTGGGGATTTTGTGGCACTGGGGGTCTTGTAGACCTGGAGATCTTGTGGCACTGGAGGTCTTGTAGACCTTGAGATATTGTGGCACTGGGGGTCTTGTAGACCTGGAGATCTTGTGGCACTGGGGGTCTTGTGGCACTGGAGGTCTTGTGGCACTGGGGATCTTGTGGCACTGGGGGTCTTGTGGCACTGGGGATCTTCATAAGATACCACAAATAAAACCATCAGTGACATGACTTTGCTCTTACCTGTTTCTGTAGGGCCAGGTCTCCTTCTAATTCTTCAATTCTCCTCTCAAGCTGGCGCTTTAGTTTCTCATATTCTTCCAGAAGCCGATCGATATCACTATTTTTAGAGCTTAAACAACAGTAAAGATACATTTTATGTGTCTGGAATAGAAGGTCACTGATTATATATCATTCAGTCAATGGCAGAGTACACTTAACATGGATAGCAGCTATAGATTAGCGTTCTTCCACTGCAGTGGAACAGGCAAAGTATATATATAAACCAAGAAAGAAAATGGAATATATTGCCGTTACCAATCCTTAGATGTAATGACTGCAATAATTCTCTTTTTTCAGATTTTTTTCCCTCTTTAAATTTCATCTGGTGATCCTGCCAGTAACACACTTCCTGTACAAAGGGTGACAACACTCATGCACTGTACTGTGAAGGAAAAGGTTTGTTATCATAGGCAGCTTGATTCTGATTTGGACTAGAAAACACCTCCACACCCCTATAACATGGAGAGAGGTGTTCTGTTTGGAAGGCAACTGGGCTAGGCTGATAACAGTGCTTGGGATTTCAGTACAACAAGCCAGCATTGTCATCTCGTGTCAGGAACCCAGGAGTTCCCTGGATTTCTGGCAGGATCAACAGGGATTTTTTTTTTTTTGTGCTTATTGGACAGATACAACAAAATGTTTTCAGTGGTATATTAAGCAAAGGGGAGCAAATGAGGGGCATTCATTGTTAGGGCTTACTTACACTTTGAAGCTGAACTGCAGGCAAACGACTAAATACACAGATATGAACTATTTTTCCCTACCAAAGAATTTGTACTTTTCTCCATCCAGTTCTTAGATTTACATAGCTCTGCAACATAACAAAGTTTTATCTGGCAGGCACTGAAAAGGTGCTGCTCCCCTCCAGTATAGGCCTTGGTAGTTCCTAAACTCTTGTGTTTCTCCAGGGCTGCAGGAAAATGCCCTAAGCTGTTTTTCGGAAGGAGATTGATTAGCATCCGTTACGCTACTCTACAGTGAATGATTCCCAAAGCTGCACGTAATACGTCACTTCTGGGTATACAGTCGTCATTGGGCTACTGTAGGCCAAGAAGCAGTTAAAGTGTCACTAAACCCTGGACTCTGCATTCACTATATCCGGTCTCCCCGGACCCTGCATTCACTATATCTGGTCTCCCCGGACCATGCATTCACTATATCTGGTCTCTTCGGACCCTGCATTCACTATATCTGGTCTCCCAGGACCCTGCATTTACTATATCTGGTCTCCCAGGACCCTGCATTCACTATATCTGTTCTCCCCAGACCCTGCATTCACTATATCTGGTCTCCCCGGACCCTGCATTCACTATATCTGGTCTCCCAGGACCCTGCATTCACTATATCTGGTCTCCCAGGACCCTGCATTTACTATATCTGGTCTCCCAGGACCCTGCATTCACTATATCTGTTCTCCCCAGACCCTGCATTCACTATATCTGGTCTCCCCGGACCCTGCATTCACTATATCTGGTCTCTTCGGACCCGGCATTCACTATATCTGGTCTCCCAGGACCCTGCATTCACTATATCTGGTCTCCCAGGACCCGGCATTCACTATATCTGGTCTCCCCGGACCCTGCATTCACTATATCTGGTCTCCCCGGACCCTGCATTCAATATAACTGGTCTCCCCGGACCCTGCATTCACTATATCTGGTCTCCCTGGACCCGGCATTTACTATATCTGGTCTCCCAGGACCCTGCATTCACTATATCCGGTCTCCCAGGACCCTGCATTCACTACATCCGGTCTCCCCGGACCCTGCATTCACTATATCTGGTCTCCCCGGACCCTGCATTCACTATATCTGGTCTCCCCGGACCCTGCATTCACTATATCCAGTCTCCCAGGACCCTGCATTCACTACATCCAGTCTCCCCGGACCCTGCATTCACTATATCTGGTCTCCCCGGACCCTGCATTCACTATATCTGGTCTCCGACCCTGCATTCACTATATTCGCTCTCCCAGGACCCTGCATTCACTATATCTGGTCTCCCTGGACCCTGCATTCACTATATCTGGTCTCCCCAGACTCTGCATTCACTATATCTGGTCTCCCCGGACGCTGCATTCACTATATCTGGTCTCCCCAGACTCTGCATTCACTATATCTGGTCTCCCCAGACTCTGCATTCACTATATCTGGTCTCCCCAGACTCTGCATTCACTATATCTGGTCTCCCCAGACTCTGCATTCACTATATCTGGTCTCCCCGGACCCTGCATTCACTATATCTGGTCTCCCAGGACCCGGCATTCACTATATCTGGTCTCCCTGGACCCTGCATTCACTATTATCTGGTCTCCCAGGACCCTGCATTCACTATATCTGGTCTCCCACAGTACAAAGAACATGGAAATGCAATTATTTTAGTAATTATAATCTGTTAAATACCTTTTCTCATCAGCAATTGGAGTCTTGTGGCTTCTATCAGTGTCCAGCAGAGCATATGTGAAAGCTTGTAGGAGTTTTCTTTCTGCTCTAGGATGCAGAACCCCTGACCTCTGTCTGGACAGTGCTGATTGGTCCTGTGCTGATCACATGCACTCTCCCAAGAAAAAAAAAACCTACACACTAAACTGAACATGTGCAGAGTAACTCCACATGATATGTCTTATCAGGAGATAAGAGGGGACACTGAAAGAAGGGGAGGATCAGATAAGGCATGATCAAACATCCTTTTTACACAATGCAGAGGATTAACCCCTCAGGTTCCACAGTGAGTATAACAAGCATGCTTTACTGCATCTACAGACTGATTTTACTGTTGTGGGTTTAGCAACACTTTAAGCTGCAGACAGTCAATGTTTTTTCTGTTTTTTTTCTTCGCCCCGTTAGCGATTGTTGTTTTATCCACCCCTCATTTGGACTACTTTTGGATACAATCACAGCCCAGAGCTCTGTGTTGACATTCAACACAGAGCTCTGTACAGAGGGAAGGCAGGGATGAGAAACTTAAGAGATCGCTTAGTAAAAGCAGCACACTGTAAACACATTACAGTTATGTACACACATTTAACCCCTCGATCACCCTAGATTATAACCCCTTACCAGCCAGTGTCATTAGAACAGTGACAGTGTATAAATTATCAGTGTATTATTGTCACTGGTGATGTCAGTGGCAGTTAGTCAGTTCCCCCCAGCGTCAGATTGTCCACCACACTATCGCAGACCAGTTAAAAGTCGCTGATAACTGCCATTAGTAGTATAAAAAAATTAAAAAATAAAAATTCCAATGTATATATACCAAAGTTTGTAGACACTATACCTTTCTTGCAAACCAATCAATATACACTTATTGGGATTTTTTTTTATTCAGACATGTAGTAGAATACATTTTGGCCAAAATTTATGAAGAATGTTTTGTTTTTTTGTTTTTTATTGCATGGTTTTATAGCAGAAAGTAATACCATTTTTTTCTCAAACTTTTCAGATTTTTTGTTTATGTTGCAAAAACTAAAAAATCCCAGTGTTGATTAAATACCACCAAAAGAAAGCTCTATTTGTGTAAAGAAAATTATATCAATTTTGTTTGGGTACAGCATTGCATGACCGCGCAATTATCACAGCGCGGTATACAGTTGCAAGAAAAAGTATGTGAACCCCTTGGGATTACGTGGAGTTTTGCATGAATTGGGCATAAAATGTGCTCTGAACGTCATCTAAGTCACAACAATAGAAGAACACAGTCTGCTGAACATAATACTACACAAACATTAGATGTCGCCATGGTTAATTGCACATAACATGTAAACATTCACAGTGCAGGGAGGAAAAAGTATGTGAACCTTTGGACTTAATAACTGGTTGACCCTCCTTTGGCAGCAATAACCTCAACCAAACGTTTCCTGTAGTTGCAGATCAGACCTGCACAACGATCTGGAGTCATTTTGGACCACTCCTCTTTACAAAACTGTTTCAGTGTAGCAATATTCTTGGGATGTCTGGTGTGAATCGCTCTCTTAAGGTCATGCCACAGCATTTCAATTGGGTTGAGGTCAGGACTCTGACTGGGCCACTCCAGAAGGCGTATTCTGTGCTGTTGCAGCCATTGTTTTGTTGAATTACTTGTATGCTTTGGGTCATTGTCCTGTTGCATCACCCATCCTCTGCGGAGCTTCAGTTGGCGGACAGATGGTCGTACGTTTTCCTGCAAAATGTCTTGATAAACTCTGGATTTCATTTTCCCATCAATGACAACAATCCGTCCAGGCCCTGAGGCAGCAAAGCAGCCCAAACCATGATGCTCCCTCCGCCATGTTTTACAGTGGGGATGAGGTTTTGATGTTGGTGTGCTGTGCCTTTTTTTTCTCCACACATAGTGTTGTATGTTCTTCCCAAACAACTCAATCTTGGTTTCATCTGTCCACAGTATATTTTGCCAGTAGTGCTGTGGAACATCCAGGTGCTCTTTTGCAAACTTCAAACGTGGTGCAATATTCTTTTTGGACAGCAATGGCTTCCTCTGTGGTGTCCTCCCATGTACTCCATTCTTGTTTAATGTTTTCCTTATTGTAGATGTGTCAACAAAAATGTTAGCATGTGCCAGAGATTTCTGTAGGTCTTTAGCTGACACTCTGGGATTCTTCTTTACCTCATGCAGCATTCTGCGCTGAGCTCTTGCAGTCATTTTTACAGGACGACCACGCCCAGGGAGAGTAGCAACAGTGCTAAAACTTTCTCCATTTGTAGACAGTCTGTCTTACCGTGGACACATGAACATCAAGGCTTTTGGAGATACTTTTGTAACCCTTTCCAGCTTCATGCAAGTCAACAATTCTTGATCGTAGATCTTCTGAGAGCTCTTTTCTGCGAGGCATGGTTCACATCAGACAGTGCTTCTTGAAACCAGTAAACCCAAAACAGGTGTGTGTTTTTTAAGGGCAGGACAGCTGTCAGCAACACATCCAATATCATCACACTGATTGGAGTCAAGGTTGGCTCACTCCTGGCTCCAATTAGCTCTGGGAGAAGTCATTAAGCTAGGGCCTCACATACTTTTTTCCTCCCTGCACTGTGAATGTTTACATGTTATGTGCAATTAAACCATGGCAACATCTAATGTTTGTGTAGTATTATGTTCAGCAGACTGTGTTCTTCTATTGTTGTGACTTAGATGACATTCAGAGCACATTTTATGCCCAATTCATGCAAAACTCCACGTAATCCCAAAGGGTTCACATACTTTTTTCTTGCAACTGTAGCAAAAAAATGGCCTGGTCATGAAGGGGGTAAAATCTTAAAATCTTCTCAAGTGATTAATGTTATTATCAGCGAACAAAATTAAGACAAATGTAACACTCTACCCATGTACTTGATCCAGTTCTATCTGGTGCTCTTTGATTTTCCGCTGACAATGATTCTGTAAATCACTGACGTTTTTCTTTTCTCTCTGCAGCTCTTGCTGAAGCTTTTCGATCTTTACTTTTAGTTCGCTTACTTCGCAAAGCTTTGCATTCGTCACCACCTTCAGTTGGGAGAACATCACTTCACACCGCTCCAGCTCACGTTCTCGCTCAGCCAGCACCTTTAAGTTATGGGTGAAATCCTTCTTAAGCCTATCAAATTTATCTCTTTTTGCTCCTGATAGTTCTTCTGCTCATCCTTGAGGGTCTGCTGAAGGAAAAAGATCTGACGCTGCTGCAGCTCCTTCCATTCTTGCTCTTTTTTGACCAGAAGGTCTGTTAGGTCTTCAGCCATCATCTTGTATTTTGTGAGTGCTATCCTATTCAAGGAAAATAAAAATAAAAATCAAGTTTGATAAAGTGAGAAGAAAGTAAACAGAGCACATGGCAATTACTTTTTTTTTTCTTTTTACTTTAGATTGTTTTTTTTTTTTTTTGGTACACAAGTAGAAAAGTCAACAACAATGCAAGCAATGCAGCTCCTAATCGATAGAATAGCATGTCCATACAAAAGTATAACATTTCAGTATGTGACAGGCACTTGTAAGATCTAGTACAAGATCCCTAAAGTAGGGGTAGAGAACCAATATACATTACCATTTTGTCAAAAAAGTCAAGTACATACCCCATCCCAGGCTCCACCTCCGCAACATCTCCGAAATACGTACGTTCCTAACCCCAGATACTACTAAACAACTCGTTCACTCCCTTATTATCTCACGTCTGGAATACTGCAACTCCCTTCTCACCGGCCTACCTCATCACAGACTATCCCCGCTTCAGTCTATCCTGAACCGAGCGGCCAGACTCATCCACCTTACCAATCGCTCCGCTTCTGCCACCCCCCTATGTCATTCCCTCCACTGGCTTCCGATAACGCATTCAATTCAAAATACTAACACTGACATACAAAGCCATTCATAATGCTGCCCCAAACTACCTCACCGACCTGATATCCAAATACCACCCTACCCCTAATCTTCGCTCCTCACAAGACCTCCTACTTTCTAGCTCCCTGGTCTCCTCCTCCCACGCCCGACTGCAGGACTTCTCCAGGACTTCCCCCATCCTCTGGAACTCACTACCCCAATCCATCAGA